AATGGGTTGGGGAATGATAATATTCGAATTTATGACAGTGACAAAGAATTGTTTGTTTCATTAGTCCATTTAGATAGGCAAAGGAAATTGAACTCATACACGTGAAATATTTTGTGCAAAATCTAAGCGGTGCCCCTTAAAAGGTAGATTGTTCTGAAATGAAAATAAATAATACTAATCAACGTTCAAAGAAAATAAACGTGGGACAAGGCTAATTTATTCCCAGGTTTAACCCACTTCTATTCAAATTGCCTATTCCTTCGGAAGAGTTTCGGGTTCTTTGGACATATCGCCAGAAAGAGAGGTGAAAATTTAAAAGAAGCTGCTGATAACAGGCAAGGTACGCGGAAGAAGGCTCTGAGGCAGGAATCTAGGGCCGATCGGGACCAGATACGCTTTATTCTCAATACTTCAGTCCATGATGTCATCCACACAGCCGACGATAGGCAGAGCTGGCACAGGATAATCCAGAAGAAAGACATTAAAGGAGGCCACGATCTTCAACATTGAGAATTATTGACGCACGGAGATTGCTTATTACCCTATTTTGTCTATGTTCGATCCGTGCACCAAATATATTGTTACTTGATGCAGAGCGAAAGTGATTAAAGTATACCACATAACGAAGAGGTGTTGCCGAAAATGCGCTCATCATTGGTCTTTTTATGTTTTTATTAATTGAGACCACGGTACGGCCCATATTTGTGTTAGTAAATGATTTAACACTATTATTTTCGCTTTCCAAATTTCTTTAATTTTTCATGGCCAGCGCACTATTCAAATGTTGACAAGCAACACGCCAGTCGCTGACGGTCAACGTGGAAACTGTAAAGTATTCATTGGTAATAATATAATGACTATGAAAACGAAATTAAGCTTTAGTTTTAATTATGTCCTAAAATTAAATAATACCACCGAGTTCTGTTCTATTGTAGCTGTAATTAAATATGGGACGCTTTACAATTTATGGATTTCTTAAATAAAAAAAACAATAACCAGTTTATCTTTAACCATATCTTTATTATTCAAATAAATTAATGCGTCAATTTAATCCATTACGTTCAAATAAATAAAGTTAAAAAGTATATAAAGGCAGCCTTTAAGAAACTTTTTACATTTAGACACCTGACAGATAACTGGGCGGGAAATCTACACAACATCGAAACTTTTTTTTTTTTAATATGGGCACACTGCACAAAATATTCAAATTATTAACATTATGTATGTACCAGTTATTAAGTTAATTTCAATAAAGCCTGCATGAAGGTATTACAAATAATAAATCATGCAAATAAACATTCTTAAATAAAGTTTTTATTATCATTATAATGTGTTATTAAACTGACATACGAGCACTCAGTTGATGTAAACTATGACTTAAGAATGCAAATACATACATTGTCTACTAGCTGCCCACCGCAAGCACTCCTGTGTGCTTAGTGCGAGTTTTTTAACGTTCTCGATAGCGTAAAAGTTAACTCAAATTTTTATGAAGGTGGAACAGCGCCCCTAGCGGCAAACGTAGGCGAACGTTCCAACTCCATACCAATTTGAGTTAACTTTTACGTTATCGAGAACGTTAAAAAACACACAATAAGCACAAAGACTTCTCAAACTATTGAAAATGTAGATATTTCCATTCCTATTATAAATAATTAAATACGATAAACGCATTTATATAAAAGCATACATTAGTAACAATCACAAATTTCATATACATCTTTATAACGTATCAAATATATATTATACTATATCAAAACATTTGTGATATGTAATCAGTGCCTTAAACGTATTTCATACAATACGCACAACAGACAATACATAACAGTTGTATTGCAAAATAAACAAATATCAAAATATAAATTTCAATTATTAAGAAAATTATCTTCTAATTAGTTATTAGAGAAACAAAAGTTTAATACACAAATGATTTTCTACAGACTTAAAAAAAAGGAGGGGAGGCTATCGATTCGACTTTATCCTAGGTGAACTGATTTTAATCGTTCTTTTCTTTAAAGTTATTATTTGGAAGCTGGTACTTTTAGTGCGATTCCATTACAATTTTATCAAGATCTGAATAGTTTTATATTTGAGACATATCTTTAATAATGCATATTTACTTAATCCTCTTATGTTTGTGTATTTAATCGCGGCCAAGTTTTTATATATTGCCTTGATGGGTGGACGAGTTCACAGCCCACCTGGTGCTAAGTGGTCACCAGAGCCCATAGACATCTACAACGTAAAAGCCGCCCCCACCTTGAGATATGAGTTCTAAGGCCTCAGTATAGTGACAACGGCTGCCACTAAGAGGCAATTTTGCAAAAATCACCAACGTATAAATGAAGGTTGTATTTTATTTTGTTTTACTTATGTTTGCAGGGTAGATATAAATATGAGATTGATTATTTAAATAATCCATATCGTTGGCATATTACCTCGCATGTATGGAGATTACATATTTTGGCGTATGTACATGACATAGCTCTCAAATGTTTATTCTTTGTCCTAATGTATTCTGTGTCAATATTTAAATGTCGCATCTACACTTTATCTGCTCATTGTATAGAGTCTTATGATAAAATATGTTACTCTTCCTAATGAAGACAGTGTATCGAATATCTCTATTGGGTTTCTCAATTAATTAACCAAGTGCACAACAGGATAACACAGAACCGATCACATGTTGATTTAAGTTGAATAAATTTTAAAATATAGCAAGGAAGGATTACTGGTGACCCGGAGACCTTTCCAGTTTCACCAGGATAGGTGAGCACGGGCTCCACCAGGAAGGGTGGGATTTGTTAACAGCTACCCGGGCGCCTCCGAAGGAGACCTAGCGGCTCGAGGGCAGCTGCTTTACGAATGAATCTACTACCGGATCGGAATCGTGACCCGCTGAGAAGATCTTAAAAACTCAGCAGGCTGATGTATGCGTTGAACTCTTTAAATAGTTCGATGAGTAGGGTAACTTTAAAATATAAATTTCAATAAACGACTTTATAGTTTGAATTTCCACAAGTTACAACAATATTCCGCGGGTAGACGTATAATAGTTCCAACAAATAACGTATTTGTTGTCAAGACCACCGCCTAACGATAGGTACGTGGTTACCGTCGCTCATGAATGTCAGTAATGTAGCGAACACAAGTGGCTTTAAAAAAAAATTAAAACAGATTTTGTTTTTTCTATATTTTTTTCATGTTAATTAAATGGTTATAATAAATAATATTTCTGAACAAAATTAAGGTATCTGTTGTTAATTTTGGGTATTGTTACAGTTCTAGTTTGTTGTTTTTGTGATGATGCTGTTCTCGCAAATTGAACCATAATGTCAAGTTTGAGGTCGCCTTTTGTATTCTTTCGTGACTTTCTACTCTCTGAACACATTTTCACAAAAAATCTTATCCTATATACATAATCATACAACTTGCTAGTGATGGGTCGTCTTGTAAGCTCGCGCGGGTAGTTACCACAACCCCGCTTATTTCTGTCGCGAAGCAGTAATGCATTCCGGTTTGAAGGGTGGGGTTGCTGTTGTGCAGGTAAAAACTGATACTTAAAACTCACATCTTAAAATTGTTAGTGACGACATTCACGTTGTTGATGTCCATGGGCTCCGGTCACCTTTTAACGCCAGGTGAGCCGTCAGCTCGTTCACCCGCCTAAGCAATAAAAAAAAAAACAATTTGTAAACCTCATCCTCCAATTTCGAGAGTTTTAATTTATTTAATTATTTAGCGTTACAATGTGTCCATTTAGATAGACACTCACTATTATATTATATAACCCGCAATTTAAAGCAATGAAAATTACAATTAGTAAAAATATAAACATAATTTACTATCATTAGGAACAATTAGTATACAGATATAGTATTTCTATATTGTTTTAAATTGATTAAAGTATTTTCTAATATGCTTGTTTAACCTATAAATAATTACAAAACTCTTTTGTGTGTTTTTACACATCACTATATTGTGTGTTTATAATGTGACGAAAACCCAGTCTGGTATATAAGTTATTTAATTTTAAAAATATTTAAATTCAAGTAAGGATAGTACCATATAGAGGCAGTAGTATAATTAGTACTAGTATATATCTAAGTATACTATATATTTGTTACGGAAATGTTAACTTCTTGTTATTCAATTTTATTTCAGTTTTTCTAGTAGTAGCAGTAGTAATTACTATACTGCATATTCTTCATGGAAAATCATAGTATTTTCAAGACATTAGCGATCCAAATGTTTCAAATCAATCGGATATATTGACGTTTTTAAATTTACCGAAGTCATCGAGTTGAGTTTTAGCACACCCTGTATACAACAACAAGAGGCATTTGAATTGATCCCGAAACGAGAATCAAAATTCACAAAGAGCGCTGTGCTGATTGCACTGGACACCAGCAAACGATTCAGTGTTACTTAAAGTTCAGAGACTTTTAGTTGTACAGTGAGCCGCAAAAGTGTTTCAGTGGGTACAGTACAAAACATTTAAAATACATAATGATTTTTTAACGCTTTTATTTATTGCGTAGGTTAATATGAGTGCTAGGGTTACTTGGTGTGAAATATTCACCGGAGCCAATAGTTATAGCCATGAGATTGATATTTTAATTGAATTATATAACGGTCTGATTTAGTAAGTAGGTTGGATGGCTGTGAATATAACACGTATGGAACAAAGCGACCAGCGCCATTTTTGTTTAGATATTTGAAAGACGATTGTAGAATCGAAGATATGTAGCGATCCTGTGGCTGACACCGTGCACAGCCCAACTGTACAGTTTTGCGTTATATGATTACCATACATTTTTTTCGTTCGCTTCAGATTAGTTTGACAGTTGCACACCCTGTATCGACGCTTAAAAGGCAAACGTGACTAAGCGACAATGCGTGAACTTTACAGTAGACTAATTTAAAGTTGAAATACCTGAAAAAAATCTATTTTAACGAATCTAGCTGTAGGATTGAAATAATTTTAATAGACCTAGAAATATATTTTTTTTGCGCATTGAATATCGTTATTGCCTATCATTTATGTACAAACCATTTATTGTTGCTTAGTCACGTTTGCCTTTCAAGCGTCGATATGAGCGGCGGGGCTAGTGCATCTCTACGGCGTCTGCGGCGTAGCACCACGGCATGTCCTCGCCGAACTTGCAGCGGTGCGCGTTGTTCTTGGCGTCGTAGAGCAGCGGGTGGTCCACGTAGGCGTCGCACGCGCAGCACCACACGGACAGGTCGCGCAGGGACAGCACCAGCGCGTGCCCGCTGGCCGCCCAGTGCGCCTGCATGTGAGCGTTCACGCCGCGCGCGCACGCCGTCTGGACTCAACCCAATACACGATTTAAACATCAACAGCCGACATGGTGGCAGTTGGATGAATAATTTTGGAATTAGAATTTTGGAAGTCGTCATGGCCTAAAGGATAAGACGTCCGGTGCATTCGTGTTGAGCGATGCACCGGTGTTCGAATCTCAGGCGGGTACCAATTTTTCTAATGAAATACGTACTCAACAAATGTTCACGATTGACTTCCACGGTGAAGGAATAACATCGTGTAATAAAAATCAAACCGGCAAAATTATAATTTGCGTAATCACTGGTGGTAGGACCTCTTGTGAGTCCGCGCGGATGGGTACCACCATTCTGTTTATTTCTACCGTGAAGCAGTAATGCGTTTCGGTTTAAAGGGTGGGACAGCCGTTGTAGCTATACTAAGACCTTAGGCGCATTTACGGTTGTAGATGTCTATGGGCTCCAGTAACCACTTAACACCAGGTGGGCTGTGAGCTCGTCCACTCATCTAAGAAAAAATAAATAAAAAAAAAACATCGACAGCCGACAGTTGGATGAAGTAGCTGTTCATACTCTGAAGATTAAGGGTAGGGTAGGCGCAGTGGGACATGCTACCATCTCTCAGATATTACAAAACAGGCGATGACGTCATCACGTGACAACAGTGCTAATGAGACTCTCTGATAGCGATAAGTAGCCGTGGCCTGAAGGATAAGTCGCCCGATGCACTAGTACCGAGCGACGCGACTGGGCCGGCGTTCAAATCCCGCAAGCCGGTACACATTCTTTGTAATAAAATACATAGTTACGTATATTAGTATTTTCGCGATTGACTTCCATGATAAAACGTTAACATCGTTTAAAAATTATTAAAACAGATTTTTTTATATAATATATATTTTTTTAAATATAATTAATTTAATTGATTACTGCTGTCACGAAGCAGTAACGTATTCCTGTTTGAAGGGTGCATAAACATGCGTTATACAAATTGAAGCTTCGATCACGTCTACATGTTAATGAATGTGGCAGACAGTCGGACCGTGACCTCAGAGACAATTGAACTTGGACTTAGTGTTTAAGCACACATGGCCATCTTCAAAGACCGTATACAGATATAAAACACCCAGACAGAGTAAATAAATGTGTTTATCACACGAATGTTTGTTCGGCGTGGGAATCGAACCCGCGGCACCTCCGAGTCATTGAAGCCAACGAGAGTGCGACACCCGCTGCACACTCGGTCATCGTCCTCATCGAACCCGTCGCTTACGTCTACTTACGTCGCTCGACGAGTGAATTAACCCACAGACACAGCCCACTGAGTTTCTCGCCGGATCTTCTCAGTGGGTCGCGTTTCTGATCCGGTGGTAGATTCTGCGAAACACGGTTCTAGCTAGGGTTCGTGTTAGCAACGTCGTCAGGTTTGAGCCCCGTGAGCTCACCTACTAGTTAAGGTTACGTTGATATAGCCTCTCAAGGCTCTCAGCTTAAGTAGGAAACAAAAAAAAAAACAAATTGCACATCCAATGAGATAATGGCGCATACTCACAATATAGCAGTGCAGACACACCCAGTTCTCCAGGGTGTGTTCGCAGTCGACGCACTGGAGTCCCTGCTGGAAGCGGACCCCGGCGGGGATGGCGTACAGCGCCTCCAGGTGCGGGCACCAGCCCAGCGGCACCACGGCGAACATCTCGCCCTCCACGAGCGCCTGCATGTTCTCCGACAAGTAATCCACTAAACTCTTGGTATTGCCAGTCGATTCCGGATTAGAATTGGACGCGGTGTTGCCGGCGTCGTCCTCGTCGTCAGTGCCGCAGTGCACGCCGTCTCCGCACTTGTTCAGACTGAGGTTGGCCATGTTGTGCTCCAGGGACGTGTCCAGTTGACTGTCGCTCTTGGAGTCCGACTTGGTGTCCTCGTATGAAGACGACAGCGCGTCGGACAGGTCGGACAGGCCTCGCGACGGCGCCGGCCGCTGGAGCACGTCCTCAGACGGCAGAGCGAGTTGGAAGGCGAGGCTCTTCCAGTACTTCTTGTGCGTGCTGATGACGTTGTTTATGGTCTCGACGGCGGACCAGTGGCAGGCGGTCCTCGGTTCGTAGTGGTGCAGTATGGGGTCTCCCAGCAGGGCCTTGGTGCACATGGTCATGGCGTAGGAGATGGCGGTCGTGTTGTAGCCGCCCTCCAGGCAGAGCACCACCCGACCTCCGGCGAGCCCTCGCAGCAGCTGCGTCATGCGGCCGTAGCACTCCGGAGTTACTTTACAACCTGAGAAGAGTATGTTGAGAGTATTCAAGTAACTACTGGATGTTCAATATACTCTTGACCTTATATCAAGGCGTGGAGACGGTTGTTATCCGTATACTAAATATTGAAGTAAGAGTTGATTATCGCGTGTGTGATATACAAATAGTTTAGTACGGTTTCACTGGTTTTTTATATACGTAATTATCAGGACATAGCATGCATTAAAAAAATTTTTTGAAATCCACACGAATTTCGAATATATGATCATTTTTTGTGTAAAAACTTATTTTGAAAATCGAATATTTCGATGCTAGTAGTCGTTGTGTAAATCGTGTATGTACTTTAAATCACGGAAATTAGATCAAATAATTGAAACGTTTTCATTAGTTTGTGAGTATACGTGGGCGATTGCTAGTGTATAAAATGTTTGGCCCCAAATGACGTCACACTTAACGAATTCACGCTCGGCATAATTTAATAAGGCGAGATTACTTGTTTAAAAAAAAAAAGCGTTCTAACCTCCCAGTGGGTCCCCGACGCAGGCGTCGAAGCCCGCAGACACGATCACCAGGTCCGGATTGTACTCGTGAGCTATCGGCAGCACGACCTGGGTGAAGGCGGCCATGTACTCCGCGTCACCCATGCCGCGCTGACCGAGAAACAAAGGGAAGTCATCAGGACACGCATATATACTTTGTATTTTTGAAACAATGAAAAACCTCTCGCTAGTCGAGTGATTATCTAAACTCTAGTTTGAAGTCATTAATATTGTTACGCCGCGAAGAGTAGCGCCATCTGTTGTTGAATAACAGAAACGAATAACAAAATAACTATCGAGAACGCTCGAGAAGTGTAACGCCATCTATTGTCAAACAGCGGGAACACGTATTGAAACGACTCGCCCTATCGGGAACGTTCAAGATAATTGTAGAATTTACATTTTAAAATTCTCAATTCACTTCTTCCGCTTCGCTTCAAGTTATCCGTTCGCTGTTCCGCTTCGAGTAGTTCCGATTACTGACTGACTGCGTGCCTTCTCTGCAACGCTTTTATAGCCGATACGACATCCCTAGAATCGTCGAGAACATTCCTCACAAATCGAGTATTTTCGATGTGCGTTTCCACTATCTGACAATAGATGGCGTTGTACTTCTCGAGCGTTCTAGATGTTATTAAATCCTTCGATATTCGTTCGGCTATTCGGTGATAGATGACGTTGCTTTTGCCGGCGTAACAGTATTCTAATTCCTTACCTTATTCCAAGGTATGTTGACATTGTAGCCCTCACCCCGCCCCGTGCCCACGGCCGTGTAGTCTGCGTCCTTCGAGTGCGGGAAGAACGAGCCGTGGTCGTAACGATGTATCGATATGTACAGTATCTGAATGAGAAAATCGATTTTATAATCGACACGCATTTATTGTGAGGGTTATCTTGATTATATTGTTAATTAGTGATACTCCGTCAGTCTCCGCTGGGACTGTCGTCGCTAATTATTGTGCATAACATTTTTTTAAACTACTCGCACGCCATCTGCCGTGCGTTGGTAGTACGAGAGAAATTATGACACAAATCTTCCCTGGATTCGTGTTTATATAGCGATGAATAATGGCGAAATATAATATATGTAAATTTCGATTTATTTTTTTATTGCCCTCGTAGGCAAACGGGCATACGACCCTCCTAATATTGAGTGGCTACCGTCGCTTATAGACGTCAGCAATGCCAGGGGTAAGCCAAGCAGCTGCCTACCTTATTGATTTGACATTGAAAACAAACTCAATCACTTATATATTTTACTAGTGGTCCGCTCCGACTTCGCTCGGGTCTTTAACAAAAATTTAAATATAAAAAAATATAATACACACACATTAACCCTTATATTTGCGTCAGGTTTCTAAAAATAGAAAATTATAAAGTATTATAGTTTGAATAATAATTATTATTTTAATGAACTCTAATTTTCATTTAAATAAAAAATAAAAAAATCTAATTTTTTATTATTTTTATATTATTATTTGTTTAATTATTGGAGTTTTAGTAAGAATCTCTCATTTAAAAAAATAATAATAATAAGCATGTCACTCGGGAAAAGTGTAGCTTTCAAACAGTGAAAGAATTTTTCAAGTCGGTTCAGTAGTTTCGGAGCCTATTCAATACAAACAAACAAACAAATTTTTCCTCTTTATTATATTAGTATAGAAGAAGATTAGTGATGAAGTATAATATACAGGCATCATATTATGCAAGTATCGGTCCTTTACTGGTGGTAGGACATCTTGTGAGTCCGCGCGGGTAGGTACCATCACCCTGCCTATTTCTGCCGTGAAGCAGTAATGCGTTTCGGTTTGAAGGGCGGGGCAGCCGTCCAGTAACCACTTAACACCAGGTGGGCTGTTAGCTCGTCCACCCATCTAAGCAATAAAAAAAAGATATTACCAGTATACCGGTGGTTTTTTATACGGTCATTGATGTTTTGTGTGTGAAGCAATATAAATTGGGAGCAAGTGTAGTTGCACCTGGTCGTCGCTGTAAGTGAGCGCCTGCGTGCCGTTCCCGTGGTGCACGTCCCAGTCGAGCAGCAGCACGCGGCGGGTGCGGGGGGAGGTGCGGGGGGAGAGGGCGGCGCGGGCGGCCAGCGCGGCGTTGTTGAGCAGACAGAAGCCGGCGGGCGCGGCGCGGTCGGCGTGGTGTCCGGGCGGGCGCACCACGCACGCGGCGGCGCCGCACTGCCCCGACACCACCGCCTCCACCGCCTGCCGAGCGGAACACCGTGCCACTCAGCCTTAACCCTTTGACTGTCGTGTAGGTCACCGGTGCCCTACGCGGCGCACTCAAGTAATTATGTCGATTTCTGTTACTAAGGCGCCTAAAAGTTTTCTCTTCTTTTTCCTTCTTTTGTTTTAGTCTTTTAGGTCTCACAGAAATACATTCGATTTCATTGGACCACCACCCCGCCTATTTCTGCCGTGAAGCAGTAATGCGTTTCGGTTTAAAGGGTGGGACAGCCGTTGTAACTATGCTCAGACCTTAGAACTTATATCTCAAGGTGGGTGGCGCATTTACGTTGTAGATGTCTATGGGCTCCAGTAAGTATAGGCACCAGTATGGGCTATGAGCTCGTCCACCCATCCAAGTAATAAAATAAAACCTGCAGCACGCAGCCGGCCGCCACAGCAGCGCTGGACAGCGACTCCGGGTGAAAGTACACAGAGTCGTACTCCTCCTTCTGGTTATTCAGGTCCCGCAACTTCGTCGACGCCAGCTCCTTTAACCTGAGGAGACACATAAGGCATATAAATAAATAAAAACAAAAAAATCTACAAAGAATAATGTATTCTAATATATTGCGATAAGGTTGATTTTTGTTTAAATTAAAATTCTGTGTGGCGTTTAAGAATGACACCTTTTTTTTAGGATGCGTAAGCCGGAACGCACAACAGGTTGAAAAAAAAAAGATAGTCTGTGACAGCATATTTTTTAACTCCGAAATGGACTTTTTGGCGGAAACCCGAGGAGTGAAGTTGTATGATTTGTTTTATTTTGTATATTTAGTGTTTTTTCGGGTTTAATGTGTAATAATGTTGGTTTACTAACTGTTTAGTATCTGTGAAAGTACACAAATGTGAGTAAATCAAACAAAGCCGCTGAACGTAACTTATCGGGATCCTACAAATAGTCCATTAAAAAAGTCTACCAAGTAAATGACCATTATTTTACTGAGATTATATTTCATACCATATCATCTAATCTCATTTCATTTCGTTACATATTATCATTTTTCATATGAAAAAGAATATAAATTAAACTGAGACTTGACTTAAAGGTCTCAGTTACCAGGTCATAAAATTCTTTATAAAAAAAACTTCCGAAATAAGACGATAAATAAAATTAAAAAATGGTTATAACTGTGTAAGCTGCTGCAACAATAACATTCCTATTGTTTCGATTGTGGTGTTAATTACGTGTGATCCAAAAACATGATTTTCACGCGAAATAAAAAAGGAACTCTATTTGGACTCCCTCATCTGAAATCTTACATATATAAAAATGAATTGCTGTTCGTTAGTCTCGTTAAAAATCGAGAACGGCTGGACCGATTTGGCTAATTTTGGTCTTGAATTATTTGTGGAAGTCCAGAGAAGGTTTAAAAGGTGAATACTTGAATATGAAAATTCTCGGAATTAAATAAAAATAACAATTTTGTTTTACCTTTAATGTGTCCCCCGTCGGACGGATTCCTTTTGTTTGTTTTAAGTTTATATTTTACACAAAAGCTTAGGTCTTTTATCTATCGATTGAGGCACTACGAAGTCTGCCGGGTCAGCTAGTATTAATTAAATATATTTGAGCGGCGAAGGTATTTGTGTAAATCTCCACAAGGCACCTGTCCAAATATTTGTCGGAGTGCACGCTCAGTATCTCCTGGTCGGAGGCGGCGCGGCCGGGCAGCCGGTGCAGCCGCTCCAGCAGACCGAAGTCCCGATGTCGCTCGTGGATCCTCATGATACGCTCCGGACTTTCGACGTGGCCTCTAGAAGGAAATCTAGATTAAACTTAACTGCTAAATAGATAATGAAATATGTAGGGTAGTATGTATAAATGTGCACTTTTCACGACATAAGCACCTTTTAAATTGAAGATATTCATATATTAAGAATTAATCTTTTAACCCATAAATAAATAATAAAAAAAAACCTTTTATTTCTCGCACTTTTAAAAACTTCTAACCCATACAATAAATATAAATAGTAAGATTTTTTCAATGACTTGGACGTGGACGAGCTCACAGCTCACCTGGTGTTAAGTGGTTACTGGAGCCCATAGACATCTACAACGTAAATGCGCCACCCGCCTTGTGATATAAGTTCTAAGGCCTCAATATAGTTACAACGGCTTCACACCAGGTGGGCTGGGCTCGTCCACCCATCTAAGCAATAAAAAAAAACCAATAGCCCAGCAACCGTCTCCGGTGGACTCACGGTTCGACCACGTTCCTGTGCTTCAACATCGCCTCGTCGTACACGTAGCCGACCGCGTGGGTCGGTGACGTCAGATCCGTCACTGAAAACACGAAACAAAACTGACTGGTGATTCGCCGGCACGTCTCCCCCCGGCAACTTGAATAAAGTCTTTTCCCCCTAACTAGTCGCTGGTAGCCTAGGGGGCTATTCCAACTGAGCTCACGGGCTCAACCTGAGGGATTTTGCTAACACTAGCCCTAACAAGAGGTAGTGCGTAGCAGAATCTACCACCGGATCGGAATCGCGTCCCACTGACAAAATCCCTCGAGAAACTCTGTGGGCTGTGTCTATGGGTTAGTTCGCTCGTCAAATTCTTCGTGCTTGAGGAGCCTAAAGGCACCCAGGACGGATCCAGGGGATCCGGCAAACAAACTTAACTGATAGACGGAAGCCTTTAAAATTGTCATCGAACATTCCTATTTATATAAAAATATTAATAGTATATTATGAAGTTGCACTGTCACGCAATGTAACATAATAAAAATTAACTCGGGGTCAACGAACTCGCGTGGGTATAGGATATGATTACTGTACGGGTTCGCAAAATATTTGCCATTGAAAATGACATATCGTATTTTTAGACTTAGCCTCATAAATTAATGTACAATTATGTCAAGATATTTCAATATGTTTCGTACTGAAACACTATTTTCGTGTTTCTATATTTTTATTAATATCGAGTATTAGGCAATACATCTTCAAGACAACACAAGTCTTAACCTAGGTGCAGTAAGGTTCGATCTCGCCTGTAGACGGCCGACTAGCCAACCAGAAGCTTGCTGAGCAACCCCTCCAAGCCTACGGGCAGAGATCGCCGTCATATAGTAACTTAGCACACGCGTTCCGCGGCAGACATTCTTTATTACAAACAACAAAAATTACCCAACGCAAGTCACGCGTAACCATTAGAACCAGCGACAATTGTTCATCGTGTACCAGTCAAGGGACAGACGGTCCCACCTCCGGAAACGACGCTGAGCCCAGGGAGCGCGAGGCAGTGGAAGGAAGGTGAACCGGTAAGTCTTCAGACTTATTTTGTTCCTTACTGTACACAATACATTATACCCTTTTCTGATTCAGGAGTAATAAGTACTATATTAATGTGTGTTCACGTGTGCTCACAATCGGAAAATTGTTATAATATGATAATTAATTACAGTGAAACTTTCGAATCACCATCAGCCTATAGCTGTCCAGTGCTGAACATAGGTCCCTCCAATAGTCCTCTAGTGTTGTCCCCTGCATCCAACGTAACCCAGTGATTTTCAGTAAGTTGTCAATCCATCAGGTACGTGGCTGTCTCACGGTACACTTGCCAGTACGCGGTCTCGACTGAACTCAACTTTCGAATACTAATCTATTTATCTATTTATATATATAAAAATGAATTATTGTTCGTTAGTCTCGCTTAAACTCGAGAACGGCTGGACCGATTTGGCTAATTTTGGTCTTGAATTATTTGTGGAAGTCCAGAGAAGGTTTAAAAGGTAGATATGAAAATGCTCGGAATTTAATCAAAATAACAATTTTGTTTTTCCTTTAATGCGTACCCCGTCGGACGGATTCCTTTTGTTTGTTTTAAGTTTATTTTATACAAAAGTTTAGGTCTTTTATTTATCGATTGAGGCACTACGAAGTCTGCCGGGTCAGCTAGTTTAGTTTTTAAATATTATATTAATGACGTCATTGTTCATAAGAGGACAGTCGTCGTTCCTCGTTCGTCCCCCCCTTCCCCACTCACCCGCTCGCAAGTGGTCGAGTCTGTCCTCCAGAGCCCGGCGGGTGGACTCGTCCTGCGTCGGGTAGCAGTCCCGGGTGGCGAAGCGCGACGGGCGCGTCTCGTCGCCGCGCCACCGCACGAGCACCTCGTGGCGGCCCCCCCGCGCGGGCTGGTAGCTGTAGCAGCTCCAGTACTGTCTGTGCGCGTATATGCAGTCCAGTATCGTGTCGCGGATTCTGCAATCGATTTTTATTTCCTCGTCAGGTCTAAGTATGTAATGATTTGGCTGCGGTAAGCAACTCTTAATATGGTTTTATTGCAGTACCTACTAGACAGATAGACGAATGGCGACAGCATGGAATGCCGCTACTCACATTTATGAATGTAAATAACAAGTACTTTTAAACAAGAAACCCTTTGTGATTCACATAAAATATAACGTAAGGACATATCGTAAGGCATACTAAGATTATTTAATTATGCTAAATTTAGTTAACGACTACGTTTTTTTTTTTTTTTCTTAGATAGGTGGACGAGCTCACAGCCCACCTGATATTAAGTGGTTACTGGAGCCCATAGACATCTACAACGTAAATGTGCCACCCACCTTGAGATATAAGTTATAAGATCTCAGTATAGTTACAACGGCTGCCCCACCCTTCAAACCGCAACGTATTACTGCTTCACGGCAGAAATAGGCGGGGCGGTGGTACCTACCCGTGCGGACTCACAAGAGGTCCTACCACCAGTAATAACCTACTTCAGCAGAGTATTTTTACTTTATTTTATTACACGTACGTTTTTAATTACTCACAAGAAATTATATCATTAAAATTGTAATAGACAGTATATTAGATCAATTGAAATTTAGGGAGTTATCACTTTGATATGCGACTATGTCTCTTAGAAGTACTCACGAGTCGCAGGGGGGCGTAGGGGGCTCCAGTTTGGGGGGCGCGTCGCCCAGCAGCGTCCGCAGCGTGAGGGCGGCCCCCTCGGCCAGTGACGTCAGGCAGTAGCCGCCCTCCAGCACCACGCACACGCGCGCCGTCACCGACTGCAGCGCGTGCAGCAGGACCGCGTAGCACGCCGGACTCACCTCCATCTCTCCCTACAACACCCACCCGGGGTAGGACCGACTTGTCCAACTTCAGCGGAACAAGTCGAACACCAATGACATGCACAAACTGACAAACATAAGCTTGTATATACTAATATTATAAAGAGGAAAGATTTGTTTGTTTGTATTGAATAGGTTCCGAAACTACTGAATCGATTTGAAAAATTCTTTAACTGTTTGGAAGCTACACTATTCCCGAGTGACATAGGCTATAATCGTTTTTGAAAAAAATTAGGGACCTTTACTAAAACTTCAATAATGTAACCTAAAGTGTGCGCGTGCCCTGCGAAAACTATTGATGATAGAATAAAATAATGTAGTACGACTTTGTAGAACACATTATTGATTACGAAAAGTGTTGCGACAGCATATGTTTAGCTATTGTAGTTATGTCGTGTTCTTTTATTTAAAAAAATAAAACAACGTCAAATGTCGTTGATTTTTTTGTTAAAGACGCGAGCGGAGCCGGAGCGGGCCGCTAGTTGCTTATATAACTAGTCTGGCCATAAATACCGTTATGTACATAAAAGCGTGGGTCGCGTTTCCGATCCGGTGGTAGATTCTGCGAAGCATTGCTCTTGCTAGGGCTACTGTTAGCAACACTAAGGTTTGAGCCCCGTGAGCTCACCTACATGTTAGGGCGAAGCTGAAATAGCCTATCAAAGCTATCAGCATAGGTAGGAGAAAAATACTTTTCTTTTTTTATCTTGTAGGGACCACAAATGTCCCCATAGCAACTAGTAATTACATGTATGTGTTAGCGATTTTATATTGCAATGATGCTACGTCAGTCTCGGGATTTTCGGGCCTGTCGATAGCACGTTATCCCAATTTACGTCGATAGGTTGTAATCCCAATTTACGTTAGTCACTTAACTGACCACATGTCTTATTAATCCTTGCCCGATAATAGACTCAACAATCTTTTTAATTATTTTAAATTTGGAACGGGTTTATAAGAGCCGAAGACTGGCCCTCATCTAGCTCAGACCTCAACCCATTAGACTTCAAATTATGGTCAGTTTTAGAGGACATGGCCTGTTATAAACGACACGGCGACATTGAGTCTCTTAAAAAATCTTTGGAGCAAGCAGTGCCGAAATTTCCCTTGGAAACTGCGTAATTCCGTAGATTCGTGGCCAAACAGATTAAAGGCTGTATAAAAGCCAAAGGTGGCCATTTCGAATATAATTTTTTTTTTATTTCTTGCTGAAACTTTAAAAAATATGTAGGTATAAATTTTAATAATATTACTTCATTTAAAAAAAATGCATTTTCATTTGTAACAGAACTTATGGCTGGACTAGGTAATCTCACGACTTTAGAGGACGGACGTATGAGAACCATGTATAAGATGATAATCATTCGTTATTTTAATTCTAGCGTAATGTAAATATTAATAGGTCAATGTAATAAATTATCGTTTTTTTCGTGTAAAAGTCAATAAAAAAAAATGGTGCACATGCAACTTGGTGCACGTGAAAGAAGTGAAACTTCTTTTGCGGTGTACTGTGATTTTCTTAATTTTTCATCGTTAAATCAATTTTTCTTGTAATAGAGAATGCTGTGTATAAGAGAAACGACCAAGCCCGTTTTGTCCTTTCCTTCTCTCCACAGTCGAGTGGTTCGCAAGGCGCTTTGGTTATTTTCTCACTCTTGCTCTTACTAAATCGTATTTTTTCTCTCTATCCGCAACGAATCTGTCGCGAGTTACATTTTACTCCCAACGCGCCTAAAGAAGTTTCACTTCAAAACAAAATTATATTTAGTTTAAGTGTACTTTCAAAAACTAGATTCAATATGAACACCCCGGACGGCCAGCGCCTGTTCCCAATTCAAAAATTGTCCTCATTCCGTTGATTTTAATTTGCATAATAGAAATTTAAGTACCAAACCTTTTGGGAAACAGCAATTTAAAGCATTCATTTTCCGGAACTTATGCTTAAAGGTAACTGAGGCGTCGTTCCAATTCCAATTGGTAGTAATTATAAGCATTGTTAATGGCATGGATGACAATTCATAAAACACAGAGAGAGAGTTTAAAATCGAACCTTTTCATCTCCTAAGGCCGAATCGTAACCAGCCGAAACTATTACAAGTTGGGGCGCGAACTGAAATAGATCAACAACATGCGTAATCAGATCATTGTACCTCGGGACATCCGATGGCCGCGTCGTATCCTGCAGATACTATGATCAACTCCGGCTGGTACTGTATGATTGAGAGAAAAATTTATTAAAAAAAACATATGATATAATACTGTCGTTATAGGCGAGGTAAAACCTTCCGCGACGGGTGAGGTCCTTGACCTTCGCGTCAGCTGATTGTTAGGTCACTTTAAGTGTGGTGACATTCGGAACCTTTGGGTACCGATAAGTTCAAGTATTATGGAAGTCAACTTGAAAGAATCTATGACCTCACCCGGCTCATGCAGCAGTTAGCCACGGTCAATGCCCTAGTCAGATGGATTCTGGACACTGTCAGTGCTATTGGACGCCACTAGTTCTACCACTAGCAACAGCTTTGCCACAGGTCAAAGTCGTTGGAAAAGTTCAACGTGAAACCTAAAACATTTTTTTATTGCCCTTGTAGGCAGACGAGCATATGGCCCACCTGATGGTGAGTAGTTGCCGTCGCCCATGGACGTCAGCAATGCCAGGGGCAGAGCGAACCTGCAGCCTACTGTAAAGTACTCTCTACAAGCCTAGTTTGAAGAAGGACATGTCATAGCGCTGACATTAGCCAATTACATTTCCATGTCTGAGTAAACCCAACTCAGGAGAGGGTCGGTGCGATGGACACTTAACTAACCTCGTAGGCCATGGGCAGAAGCAGCTGGTGCCAGATGGCCAAATAGTCTCCGTCTTTCATCCCGGTTTTGTTGAGGGGCACATTGAAATTGTATCCTTTACCCGCGCCGCTGCCGACGTAGTGGAAGTCGGACTGTCGCAGCTGGGGCCAGAACGAGCCGTGCTCGTAGCGGTGTATCGAGAAGTATACCACTCTGGAATCGCATCAGTGGATCAACGATACAATCTATTTTTCGTCAAGAAATGAATAAAACTACTGGTCCCACCCACAGTAGTCGAAATTCGACTATAATTAATTAAAATCATAAGTTTGTATATTATTATGGTTCTATTATCAAATACTATTTTACTTCTATAATCACTGATTTCGCCAATACTACACTCTAAACAAATAATATTAAAGACAAACAATATTATAAACTTATTTTCAATTTGAACACAGACTTTATGCAATAACAAAAGTTTGACAATGACTCTACATAGGTGTGTGTGTGTCAAATACATGGTAGTGTGTGTAATGTTTTTTTATTCATTTAATGTATTAATAATGCATAATTTACAAAAAAAATATTGCTTTCTGTACTCTTTCTCTATATTCTCTATAAGTGTGGGAAATTCCATACTCATCCGTCCGCGCAGTTTTCGTAAAAAGGGATACAAAGTTTTTGCTTCACGTATTAATTAATAAAATCTATTGTGAGATGCTATCGCTGACGTTCTTGTGAGAAACAGATTTCCGAACTTTCCGTGTTCACCAAAAAGCCCATGTCACGCTCGGTAAATTCCCGCCATTTCATTAGGCATATTTTAATGTTAATAAATGTTAATAAATAAAATTGAATTTTACTCTCGATTCCGGCATACCAAAAGTAAAAATCTAAATCTCAAACGAACATGATTTTTGGATATTTTTGGGCTTTATTAAAACTTAACTCCACTGTGGTCAAAATGCCATTTGCCACGCTGAAAAGAGGAATTAAAATGGCTTAATAAGACTAAGTGTATACCTGGGATCGTCGTAGAACATCTGCTGTGTGGCTTGTCCGTGGTGAACGTCCCAGTCCACGATCAGTATCCTATTAAATGGTTTTTTTTTTTTATTTCAACAATTTTAATTTTTTCAGCCCTAGAACTTTTTTTTTTATATAAGAAAATGGCAAAGCCTTAGAGTTTGTCGATGCTACAGTATATACAAAAATGACAGTAGTTCAGAGAAAAAAATATTAATTAAAATTAGATAGACCGCCCTTCAAATCGAAACGCATTACTGCTTCACGGCAGAAATAGGCAGGGTGGTGGTACCTACCCGTGCGGACTCACAAGAGGTCCTACCACCAGTAGTACGGTGCACTTCACATAATCTTCAACTACCGTGTCGAGTCTGTAAGCCTCACTGACCTTTGCAGACCCCTTTTGTCCAAGGCGTGCTTGGCGGCCAAAGCGACGTTGTTGTAGAAGCAGTAGCCGCAGGGCTCCGAGTGCATGGCGTGGTGCCCCGGCGGCCGCACGAAAGCCGCGCCGTTCTGGACTTCACCCGACACTATGCTGTCCACCATGTCGATGGTCGAGCCGGCCGATATCAGCGCCAACTCGTGCGTGCTCTGTACCACAGACACAGAAGCGGTAAGCTAATTGATATCGGGCTTTGAATCATAGATGCGGAAGTGCCAAATCGGCCCCGCCGAGCTTTTGTTTCAACTTCTAAGGCCTTCAAATATTTGTGGTGAGAATAAGCATACTGGCAAACGCCAAGTAACATCAATTACACATATTTCATAATTAAAAGACGGACACGGAAGAGAGAAGTTTTAATATACAATCTAATTTACATTTTGTTTTCACAAAGTTAAATATTTGGTTTAAGCGAAATTTTCGCAACATTACACTTAAATATCATAACAAAAAAACTTCTTCAGCTATTTCAATGGAGTAAACTTAATTGAAGTTCAATTAAATACATCGAACTGAAGATGCAAATATCAAATAAAACGCACCTTTAATTATAAATATAAATGTCGCGTATTAAGCGAACTGTCATAGTCTTTCACCCATGGATATGTAAATACAACATAGCTATACATGTTGGAGTATTTCTACTTTCGGGTAGCGACATGGTAAGCGGGCGGTCTTCGTAAGTCAATAAAACTAGAAATGTTATCTCAGAGCGTATATTACGCAGGAGCGTTCCGTCTGATACGGCGACTCTCTCGCTTCTGAGCTCGAGAGACAACAACGGAGCGTATAATGCTATAAAAATAGCAAGGTATCGTGGTGGGACGATGTTGTTTACGACTCTTATCTTGCACGTGTAGTTTTCGATGAATGCTTGCACGTGTTGTTTGTCGTCCCATCTTTATTAGTCATGAACTAATGGTTTATAAAAACACGCGCCGACTTACATACATGATTAATCTTTAAACACTTACCGGATGAATATAAATAGCGTCGAATTTCGATGAGAGCTCTTCCAGATACGCGGCGTCGTCGTTTCCGTGTGTCGTCTCTAACATTTCGTACACGGAGGGCGCGTGTAGCACGCAGAGCTCCTCCTTGGTGGCCGCGCGGGGCTCCAAGTGCTTGCAGCGCTGGATCAGGTTCAGTTCCTGACACCTGAACACGTCATTAAATCTCTTCAGGATTGCTGCCTGGATGTAGCCCCAGAGTGCGGGGAAAGATTCTGGAGCAACTACAATTATTTTTTAATATACAGTAAAAGCTTCTTATTCGCGCCCCTTTATTCGTGTTTGCATTATTCGCGGATTAAAAAAATGCGACCCAATTCCTATATTCGCGGATCTAATAAGTACATACATAATAATAAACGGATTCCAATAAATAGGTATCCAACCCATTATCCTTTGTAAATGCCGCCAAAGACTAATAAAAAAAGTAAAATAGATCTTATTACAACTTGGCCTAAAGTTAGTATTGCGATGAAAATTAGCCTATATTTTTCTCGGAGTGCCGATAGCGAATTTGGTCAAAATCGTGGTTTGGATGTGAAAATGTAACAGACAGACCCTGTTTTCCAATTACAGCACAAGAGCGCATTATGCGGCATAATGCTCAACGATAATATAAACAAAATTTCGATCAATGCCAACTTAAAGAAAAAAAACACTTGTCAATTCTCTGCCACCTGTAGTTTTCCAATTACAGCACAAGAGCGCATTATGCGGCATAATGCTCAACGTTGAATGTTTCAATTGAATGTTTCAACTACAGCAACGATCGAGCACTCTCAAAAGTACTGCTCTCGCGTGATACTCGCAATCGATACCGACTCAGTGACAGAAAATTGACAAGTGTTTTTTCTTTAAGTTGGCATTGATCGAAATTTTGTTTATATTATCGTTGAGCATTATGCCGCATAATGCGCTTTTGTGCTGTAATTGGAAAACAGGGGATATCACATTCGGCATTAATAATACTATTTTATGTATAACTTCAAATATCTAACAATAATATCTTATCTATAATAGAAATCTTTATATTTCAATGTTAGTCTATTAGTCTTCTTTAATTAGCCCTCTTTCTATGCTGTATTATACGGAGACACCGATTTAGATATATTGCCATATTTATTTCTGTAAGTAGTTGATTTTGGTATTTTTTCTGGGGTCTTAAACTCTACTCTAACTTTTTGATAAATAATTTAAACATAAAGAAAATTATACCAAAAATGGTCTTACGGTTGGTTATATTTATAACACATTAAGTCATTCATAATTACCTAAATAACCTAAATAATAAAGTTAATGTTTTTCTGATGAAGTTTTTAAACAGTGACTGTGGCAGCTCCAAGACTATTTCTATTACATGGTATGGCAGTTAAAAGCCTATGAGCAGTGTAGATTACATATTTTTTACTGACCTCGTGATGACACTAATGAGCCTTTCCGGACATTCTGGGTAATTTTCGTCCCACAAGCACCTGTGTTCTCCCATGCGAGGCTCAGTGACAAATCCGGTTGGACCCTTCACTAATGTCTTCGATTCCATCGCCTGATAGAAACAAAAACTTTTTTCGTTACACGGGTCAGTTAGATCATTGCTCACGAGATATTTAATAATGAGAACTCATAGACATTGCAATGTTAATAAGGTTGTTTAGGCTGTTGTACTATTCAATTCAGAATGAATAATTGCTCGGTGGTAGGTATAGGCAGGTTGGTGATAACTACTGGAAATGACACTTTGCCTTTTTTATATTTACATATTTTTTACACACATAACAATAATTTAAATACAAAAAATATGTATGTACGTATATGAATAGAATTAAAATATGCAGTAAATTGAGTGCATTACTCCCACTGAATACCACCTAATGAGAATTCTCTAACTTGTTTTTTTTTTAATTTTTTTATTGCATAGATGGGTGGACGAGCTCACAGCCCACCTGGTATTAAGTGGTTCCTAGAGCCCATAGCAAATGCGCCACCCACCTTGAGATATAAGTTCCAGAGTCTCAAGTATAGTTACAACGGCTGCCCTACCCTTCAAACCGAAACGCATTACTGCTTCACTATAGAAATAGGCAGGGTGGGGACACCTACCCGTGCGGACTCACAAGAGATCCTACCACCATTAAAAAATGTCTTATTGAATTGGGTAGTGTTATGCTAGGGCACAGCCAAGCTGCTGCCTACCAAGTGAATGATTACTATTACCATTCTTTTAATTCTCACAACTAGCATATCACATATCTTAGTGACAGTTACGGTATTTTAAGAAGCCCATGACCACCATGCCATATACCTGTGAGTGTGAAAAGTATCATATTAAACCATACCGTGTGCATCGTAAAAGGACCCTTACACTTGACATCAAGCAATAAACTAAAAAATACTCACAATCTGAAAATGATCCCTGATCTCCATTACGAAATGATTTTGCTTCTTTTTCTGTTGAGCCTTCTTTTTAGCTGCTATTAAGGATGCTGAAGGCTGAAAAATGACACAAAAAGATTTAAAGACAAAAAACAACTCTCAATATTAAACTAAGCTGTTACAAAATTTACATAGAATTTATTTCTTGAAGTCGTTGATACTGATTAGCAACTGACTGAAAAGTAGTTTTTATATAAATAGTAATTGCTGAGTAATAAAATTTATTGTTTAACCGTGACAAAATAATAAAAAATAATATTACTTTACTTTGAAACCAGTAAATTTACTGAGAGATGCGCGCGATTCTGTCCCCTAACATAAATTGTATTTTTATTACTCTCTTTAGACCAGTAGCCTCAATGCTAATACATGCTTTGCCAAGCAAGGTTATAGATATGATAGAATTACGAAAAAGATTTAAACATTTATTTTGTCCCCTAGTGAGCACTCAGCTATACTTTGTTCTTATCAATCATGTGCTGGAATTTAATTACACTTTTGAGATAATTAGATAACATACAATGTCGTTTGAAAATTAAAAATAGTAATTCAAAATTTTTTTTGTAATGATACCTCATTTTCACCTGATTTACTTAGAATTTATTTGGTATATTATTATGTTAGCTTTTCTCAATAACATTATCAGATCTCTAACGTAGCCTGATAGTAAGAGAGTGAGTCTCCACTTAAAAAATCTTCCAGCCTGTCAACACTCATCTTTCTTTACACCAAGCTAAGATGATAAAGTAAAGCAGCAATGAAGAGTTTCCCATTAAAGTTTACTAGACGAATTAGCAACATCACTTTAAATTGTTTTTGAAACTATATTTAGTGTATTTAGTTCAGTGTGCAAATTCATACTGAACATTTGTAAAGTATGTATTTCATTTGAAAAATGGGTATGTGCTTGCGAGATTGAAACACCATTGCATTGCTTGATAAGGATGCAGTGGGAGACTATATTTTTAAGTATTTAAGTGTAGCCAATCAACATCAAAAAACCTTTTTAGAAGGTAGGTAAGCATTACTTAGTTTACAGCAATTTTAATGATTGTATACATAGCTCATGTTTTAAATATTTTCATTGTGCAGAAAGAAACTATGAAGTATTTTATTAGTTATAAAATATAGTAGAAAAAATATAATCATGAATATTTTGATTAATTTTTATAACATTATTGATATCATTATCATCAGCCCACAGACATCCATTGCTGTAGATAGGCCTTCCCCATGATTTTATTAATAGTCCTGTTCATCCTGCATCCAGAGAAATCCCATAACCTTTAGCAGGTCGTCGGCCCATCTTGTGGCAGGCCTACCTATGCTGCACTTTTCAATTTAATTTCAGTAAAATTTCCAGGGGCTGTCAAAGATCTCATCCCAAAAGTTCAGTGTTTCAAGGCAAAAGACTATGACCAGTGTGTGTTGCTAATGACGACATAATAATATGGCAGTAACAGACGTATTGATGACATTTAAAATACTTTACTATTTGTAGTCACCAATACTGTCCATTAATTTTCCTTATCACATCTTTCAACTGTCTTTCATTTTAATCAAGTGCTATTCCATAGACTGTTCAGGCCATAATTATGTAGATGATCTTTTACAAGTTCAATTATACATAGCACTAACATACTGAAGTATTAAGAAGTGCCTATAATGTGAAAACAATTCATGTTAAATATAACGTGGCCTTCTTTGAATTGCCTTCCATTTATTAACAAGCACTTAGGAATATTTTGTTTTAGTGTAGGGGTACTAAACTGTTTGAATTGTCGTTTGAGGAGTGGGCTTGATAGGTACCATTTGATATGAAGTCTTAAAGTGATAAAAATACCTTAGCTGCGGCGGACATTGCTCGAGTTTGAATCTTGGCCTTGCGAGCCCCATTCCTGGTCACTATATTGGACGTTGGCGGCGTTACTTTCTTACTGTCACCGCCCGATCTACGAGACTGCGTCGGCGGAGGTGTAGCCTATTCAATACATAAATTACATAAATCACACTAAAACTACAACTACTGTTATGTATTATTCGAATTTTGAATTAATAATGACTCACCATTATGTTAACGTTTTTGTTTTGCTAAAACCATTTATTTTATTTACTGAAGATACATTGTCATCAACTGTTGAATTTTTTAGCCAAAATAGTTTATTGAACTTTAATGATTTGTTTGTTTTTGTGAAATATATGTCAAGTGCGGTTGGAGGTTGGATTCGGCGACCGATATTTGCATAGACCTATATAGTAGGGACACGACATATTGTTCTATACGTACAATTGCTTATATAAATAGCACCCATTTTGAAGGCACACACATAAACATATATCTATCTCGTTCTTACTCAGCACTTTAACTCGCAGGAAAACAATATAACAGTATTTCAGTGCGTACATAAAATGAAACATGAATATACGTAAATGTCTCCGTCNACAAGTTTTGCGACAAACAACAACTTTATAAAATCAGTGTAGCAACTTTTAAAAATCATCATATCATTTACTTGGCAAATTCGAAGGACGAACTTGTCTTAGATTTCACCCATCTAAATCATATCATATTTGCACATAACAATATACCTACTTATTTCCCATTAAAGTATAAATTCTACAAATAAATAATACTCAACAATATTGAAAATAAAATGAGCCAAGAACGTTTATCGATGAAACCTGATAACATTGAAATCTTTTGTACAGCACTAAAACCGCCATGTTTTGTGGCCAGATGACGTCACAGTGGCACGAATTTTTGGTTGACGTTTCATTTCCATAAGTTTCCTACTTCAGTGGATATTTGCGCCTTGCGTTGTTACGGGTTGCAAGCTGATTTTGACATTAATGACAGTGGTGACCTTTTTTCTAACGGAGATCATGTAGAAATTAAACAACAGATTTTAATTTTATATTGTGTTTTATTTGTTCAAGTGTAAAATTAATAGAACCTTAGTACAGACCGGTTAAAACACCATAATTTTCTCGTTGTAATGAAATTTGAAAAGAAAGACTTTAACATACGGTCTTTATACCTTTAACTGCTCAATTAAAAAATTGAAATCGTCGTGTGACAAGTTGTCATTTTTTCTAAAATTGACACCTTTTCAAATTGAGTGTAATGTAACAATTTATTTTCAAAGAAAAGAAAAGAAATATAATTTGCAATGCGTTTCTAGTCTATATAGTATGTTGTGCTTCAATTAATTTACTTAGATATTATAACATTTGTTAGACCGCTTCCTTTGATAATATAAGTTGTAACGTGAAAGGTAAACGATTGTTTCATTACAAATCCTTTAAGCCTCCTGTCACTAGACAGCACAGGATTATTAGGGACAAAATAAACATCACAATAACAATCAATGAATTAATAATGAGTGATTTGTCGCACTTAAGATTATCACGGTGATACAGGTGGCCCGTGATTGCCAAGATTCATTGGCAGAATTCATATAAAGTAATATAAGTCTAACATAAATTAAATACTTACGTTCTGCGTCCTTGCCGATGTGTTAGTATTTTCGTCTCCTTTTGAAAATAATTAAACAGTTTATAAAAAAATTACAACATCGTAATACAAAAGTTTACTTTAAAAACAAATTGCAATGCAATAATAAAATATATCAAACCAGAATGCTCAATAAGATTATGGTCATTTATAATCCTGTTTCTGTAGAAAGCTTTGTACTTTTGATAGTTCTCGTTTTGAATTTAATCTAACACTACCTAAAACATTTGAAAAAACTGGAATAGATAAAAATCGAAGGATGCAAAGTCAACTAAATGGTGAATGTATGCAGACTTTTTTGACCAGTTGTGGTTGAGGTTGCCACTCAATAAGAACTTGTGAATGCATTTTATTAAAATTCATAGGGATTTGGAGATCTTTGGATACAGTTACCAAGAAAACAGAAAACTGGATATCTAGTGAAGTTGAAAGCTGTGGAATTTGCTCTAAGTAGGCTTTTGACTATTTCAGTGAACTCATGTCACCCCAAATTTTGAGCATTTTTGTATATCCTTTTCTAATGCCTAACTGTCTAGCGATCTCATAACTACTACGAGTAATACACTTATCTAAAAAAAACCAGGCAGATACAATCAGTTCAACTAGAAAGGTTTTACTTTGACTTTTTACTTAAAAGAACAAAACTGTTTACAGCTACAATGAAGCTATTGAAACCCCTGTGGATCCTCCGAAATGGCAGGAGGAAGAAACTCGGATGCTCTGTCACTACTTGGTCACCTTTGGCAACAGCATTCAACACCAGACCAAATTCTAGGCCTATTTTTGACTCTTTAAAGGAAAGAACTGTAAGCTTTGATTTTTGTAAAAGATTAATATTGTTATTCAAAAGTTATATGAAATATACTAATCTGACTTTGATATAATGGTCAATTGTGGAAAAAAGCTTTACACAATCAAATAATCCCCTTTTGTCTATTTGTGATACTTTTTATCCAGTATTCTTTTGGTTTTTAAATTTACCTAGCCTAAATTTACTTTTAACAAATTACTTAAGTCTCTTACTGAGTTTTTTCCTTTCTGTGTTTTTATGAATGAAAGTGGGTGATTTGGAAGGAATGCATTTTGATAAATACTAAATATAATTTTAACCTACCAAATATGCAATATACTCTGGCCCACATTTAATCTGACATCTGACAATCAAAGATGTTTAATATTTTTCCTAATTTTAATAAATTTACAGGGCCTCTTCAATAAACCAGAGCTCACAACTTTTGAAGGCTTCTACACGCTCAAGGACCAGGCTATCGAAGCAACTGATCGTCTGATAGAAGAGGCCACCAACAGCCCCACGCGTCCTATGGTCGAGATATTTGATGAGCTTTCCGACACACTGTGCAAAGTTGCAGATCTTGCTGAGTTTGTGAGGATAGCTCACCCCCAACCACATTTCGCACGAGCTGCTGAAGAAGCCTGCATCAGCATTAGTGGAGTTGTCGAAAAGTATGTTTTTGTACTGTCTATTATTAATTATGGCAACAATAATAGTCAAGAAAATTTAACTGTTTAAAATTCAGGAAATTATTATCGTGTCTGAATTGTACTCATTGCCTGACAGTCTGCCAAAGTATGTAAAAAATTGAATAGCTTGCTTAGTAATAACATGAATTTACTTTTAGGTTAAACACGCACAAAGGCTTGTACGAAGCTTTAAAGAAGTCAGTTGAGAATGGAACATCTGGAGACAAACATTTAGCAGAATTATTCTTGTTCGACTTTGAACAGAGCGGAATACACCTCGAAGAGAACAAAAGGAAGAGTGTGGTGGCTCTCAATGATGTTATCCTCCAAACTGGGCAGAGGTTCATGGCCGGAGCTGCTAAACCAAGACGTGTTTCTCGAAGTGCTGTACCTCAGAATGTTAGACATTTGTGAGTATATGTCTTAAAATCATATAGATTATAATTGCAGACATTGCATTGTGGTACAGATTATTGTGTGCCTTGAATACCATAAATGCTTAGTTTTATTGCTATTGAGTCTCTATATTGGGCAAGGATTAATAAGACAGGAAGTGACTAACGTATATTGGGATCACAACCTAATGTGCTATGGACAGCCCGACAATCCCGAGACTGACATAGCATCTTTGCAATATAATTACCGCTAACACATACATATAATTATTAGTTGCTATGGGGACATTTGTGGTCCCTACATTGCTTTATTTACATGAGAAACAGTAATGTTCTACTTTGAGTGGTATAAAATGTATTATTGTTGTACTGTTTAGACTTTTGCCTTGTGTCACGAAGTAGGTCAGCAGCAGCAGGTTGCAAACACGGGGTTGGTAACGAAATATAAAGAACGACAACCTTTGAATAATTCTAATAATTTCATATTTATAGATAGATGTGGATCAATAATTTGAAGAATAGATTTTGCCTAAACAGCTTCAGCACCGAAGGCGACAATATAATAGTGAGCGGGGTGTACGCGGAGTGCGGGGAGGCGGCCGCCCGCGAGGCCGCCTACCGACTGTACCTGGCGCCGGACGGCACGCAGGACCGCCTGCTGGACGCCGTGCTGCAGGCCAGGCACCACATGGCCACGCTCTGCGGCTTCCGGACCTACGCCGACAGGTTAGGCCAGTGTTTTCCAACTTTTTTTTTGCCATGCCCCATTAGAAATGTTACATTTCTAAAATTTATATGCCACCATCAAAAGAATTAATTTGTTCACTTAAGAAACATAAATGGTAGATTGTAGAAATCACTATGAAATTGTTAATTGTTATCAGAACACAGTAAATAATATTTCAAAACATATAATAAAAAACTTCAGTACGATTGCCCCCTTAATTACCAGATTGCCACCTTATGGGGCGTGGGCCTCACGTTGGGAAACACCAGGTTAGGCACTCGTACTGTAACTTGTACTTGTCTTCATCCATGATAATGCACAATAATAATTATACAAAACCTTGTCTATACAGGTTTTTTATTGTCGTTGTAGGCAGACGAGTATACGGCCCGCCTGATGGTAAGCAGTTACCGTTGTTCATGGACTTTGCAAATTTTCTTTTTTAATCAATGTCCATTGAGCGATTTGGCTATGCCAGTACCAAAATCTCGTAGGTAAGTAGGTATGAACTGCTCTAATATACTATGTTCTAGCATACTTAACTCACATTCACAAATGAATAAAACCCAAATTCTCAAAAGTTACATTCGCATATTTACTATTGGTAGGACACTATAAGCCCGCACATAACAGAAATGTTTACCACTTTCAATTGTAAAGCAACTGTTATATCCATACCAATGAAACATATACCTTGTGACTGAAGGAAAGTTGCAGCATCCACATTGTGATACCTGTGGACTCCTGTAACTGTTTAACATCAGACTGTAAGCTCGTTCTATGCAATAAAAAATGTATCCTGATGCAATGTTAGCCTCCATCCATCACTAATAACGTCACCACAGATGGCATCTATTTGATTTCATAATTCTATTAAATTTTATTCGCTCTATTAAGCAGTACTTTGTACAATAAATCTTGAATCTTAAATTAAATTATCTAAAAATATTCCTTATTCCTAGAGCAATAAAAGCGAGTACAATGGAGACAGCAGCAAACGTGCGGCAGTTTCTCGACCTCCTCTCTGACGGCCTCCACGACCGCGCCAGGATGGATTTCGACGTGATGCTGAAGATGAAGAAACAGGAAACGCCATATCTGGATCAATTAAACTGCTGGGACACGCCGTACTACACTCACAAGGCGAAGAACTTGTTATTGGACCAGGCCAATTCGGACTTCAGCCCGTACTTCAGTCTGGGCGCGTGCATGGAGGGCTTGGATATGTTATGTCAAGAGCTATACGGCATCAGTCTGAAGTCCGAGGAAATGTTGCCAGGTTAGATAAATCCAGATTTATATCTATTAAACAGCTTGATAATTTATAGTAAAGCGTAAGGAGTCTTTTGCCTCTCGCAGTGTTAATGTCCACGGACAATGTTGACTATTCACCTTCACCATCAGGCAGACTGTACCCTCATTTGACTAAAGTAATTTGCCCATTATGTTTTGTCAAGTCTTGTTATGTCAATAATCACCGCAGTAATTACACTACTTTCATTAAACATTGCAGTTTCATTTATCCTCATAGTTTTTTACAATGATTTCATTATGGAATTTAGTAACTTTTGTCAATAGCGTAAACATGCATTGATTAATTTAAAAACTGGATCATTGTCAGACCTTGACCATTGCTGCATGTTCACTGCAGTAGAATATTCTAATTCAAAGAAGAGCAGGACAGTCTTTATATTGTACAATAAAGACATTTATATTTGAGGTCTACTTAATAGCACCAAGCCAGACATCCAAGCCCTTACACACGGACAGCTCATTAAATGATCCTTCTTTTAGAATTCTCTAATTGTGCATATTGTGTTTATAACGTTAATACCTGTAGTTAATATTGTACTGAAGAAATGGTATATGATAGAGGAGTATGGAAGGAGAAAACATGTTGCGCCGATCCCAGGTGACTGGGAGAAGGGCAGGATAATGAAATGATGATGAACGTTAATACCTCTCCTCAGGCGAGTCGTGGTCTCCGGACGTGTACAAGCTGGCCGTGGTCCACGAGTCGGAGGGGCTGCTGGGCCACATCTACTGCGACCTGTACGAGCGGCCCGGGAAGCCGCACCAGGACTGCCACTTCACTATACAGGGCGGGAAGCTGTTACCAGATGGCTCCTACCAGGTCAGCCATCGTTTAACTTTCATGATGGTTTTACTTCTGACACATTTAGGAGTGGATGGCATACACATCTTGCTGTGGGTTAAGGAATAAAAAAAAACCATAAGCGTTAACCCCCCCTTTCCATAACTCTAAAATATATTTTAGAAGTTCTTAGCGATGCAGCCTTATCGTCATCAGTAAAAAAGTCATCAGTCAACATTTAATATGTTGCATCTGTGTGCTTAACAAAAATATTCAGTGTGTCGGTCACTTTGTTTGTTGACAATGAACATCTGTCAAAATACTCCTTAATATACTCGTAATCAGTTCTATACTAATATATAAATCTACAGTGGTTTTTACGGATATTCTGTTATAACTAATGAACCATGCATCCGACTGAAACTTGGTATCCATGTAGAAAATACATGTACTTAATGGATAGGCTAATATTTGTAGGAGTGTTGGACTTCCTAATAATAATGACAATAAATCATAAAGTCAATTTAAAATGCGCAGCGAAGCGGGAGAGTACGGCTAGTATATTAAATAAATTGAAAATATACGGGTACTTATTTAGGATCTGAGATATCTTGAATGAAGTGACATGATCTGAAAGCTCTTAAATGTGTTGTTTATTTATGTTTTCAATTAAGAATTGTTGAAGATTGATGATCGAATTCAATTTTGTTGGCAGAACCCGATCGTGGTGATAATGTTGTCGCTGAGCGGCGGGCACCGCTCGGGGCCGGCGCTGCTGTCCGCGGGCGCGCTGGACAACCTGTTCCACGAGGCGGGCCACGCGCTGCACTCCATGCTGGGCCGCGCGCCCCACCAGCACGTGGCCGGCACGCGCTGCCCCACCGACCTGGCCGAGCTGCTCAGCGTGCTCATGGAGTGCTTCGCGGCCGACCCGCAGGTCTGCCAGAGCATGAGCCCTGACCACTTACCTCCTGACTCTTTACTGCTGGTAGGACCTCTTGTGAGTCCGCGCGGGTAGGTACCACCACCCTGCCTATCTCTGCCGTGAAACAGTAATGCGTTTCGGTTTCAAGGGCGGGGCAGCCGTTGTAACTATACTTGAGATCTTAGAACTTATATCTCAAGGTGAGTGGCGCATTTACGTTGTAGATGTCTATGGGCTCCAGTAACCACTTAACACCAGGCGGGCTATGAGCTCGTCCATCCATGTAAGTAATAAAAAAAAGGCTGTAGTCTTGTAGGTGTATTTGTAAGTTGTGTTTGTCGTTAACTATACCTACCCGCGGCTGTGTGCAGGTGCTGCGCAGGTTCGCGCGCCACTTCCAGACGCGGCAGGCGGCGCCGGAGCGCACGCTGCAGCGCCTGTGCGCCTCCAAGCGACTCTTCGCCGCCAGCGAGATGCAGCTGCAGGTATAACCTCCTCAAGAACAGTGCCTATCTAGGAAACGTGACTGGCGAACGACACGTGGGTAATGGCGGCGGTCGGCTTGACGGCTGGAGAGCTCTCCTCTAAAGTAATTGTGTTCGCTAAGACGGGTATGACACTCGCGCAACGACGAAGATGATCATCCGTACGAGTTCGTAAAGAGAAATTAGCATAAGTCCAAATTGAGATATAACAAGCGGCGGGTGCGCCGCACTACGCGCGCAGTCAAAGGGAGTCTTTTCGACTAACTGCTCATGCGATAAGTTCGATGACCGGTTGTAAGTTGACAAGTATTACATCTACCCTTATAAAAAAGGAACCAAATTGAATTATTAAAATCTTATTAAATTTGAAAAAGAATTAATAAATGCTTCAAGTAGTTAAGAATAAAATAAATAAAAAGTATTTAATTGCGTTGAAGAGAGATAGCGAGATATTTCCCTTATAAAAATATTTTAAAAACGGCTATATCAAAGCCGTTTTTATAACATAAATTATGAAAGTTTGTTGAAAGAGTACTGTTACAGACCAACATCGTTATAACTTAAGACAAATATATTTTTTAATCCTTTATAGGATCCCCTAAATAATTCCTTAAATATTTCATTTACACCTCTTACCGAAGTTCTCAAGGAACACTTTATACACAATAGAAACATCTTCTGGCTTAGGTTTTGCGTGGTCTGTTAGCTTCGTCCACCGCAAACCTTGAGTTATTGGCTCGGTCAATACACAATAGGCTCAATGTATTCCTCAGGTGTTTTATTCAGCCCTGGACCAGCAGTACCACGACCGGCCCGCAGCGCCCGGGGGCCGCACCACGGACGATCTGAAAGAAGTCCAGAAACAATATTATGGACTTCCGTATGTCGAAAACACAGTGAGCAATATTTTTTAGTTTAGCATGGTTTATCTTTCTTGGCTTATTTTGTACAGAGTACAATTTCTAGAACAGAATAGGGCTCCCCCGGTGGGGGGACAAGGTAATCTCATTTTAGAAATTACTTTATTAAAAAATAAACAACTTACACGGTTTAGATACTTCCATCCAATGAAGTTTTTTGAACTAATACATTAAGGGTTAAATTAAATTAAATAATAGTTTAAAAAAACTAATAAAATACGCTTTTATAGAAAATCCAACTAAAAAATAGAAAATAAATTTTAATAAATTTGATTTAAAAAAAGTGTAAAATAAATGATTTTATTGTAAAACTAGCGGCCCGCTCCGGCTTCGCTCGGGTCTTTAACGAAATTTTCAAAATAAAAAATTATAATACACATCCCTTATATTTTCGTCAGGTCTCTAAAAATAGAAAAAAGAATATAGCCTATGTCACTCGGAAATAATGTAGCTCCTAAACAGTGAACGATTTTTTCAAATCGGTTTAGTAGTTTCAAAGCCTATTCAAAATAAACAAACAAATCTTTCCTCTTTATAATATTAGTATAGAAAAGCGTTTTCAAACATATTTCAAAAAAAGTCATAATGTGTATTAAAGATGTTTAATATTTAGCTCAGTTGCCAAAGATTTTATTTATAATAATATGTGACATCCTGTCGTCCACTGCGTATTCAGTGTGCCCCGCTCTGGTTGCAGGCGTGGCAGCACCGGTTCAGCCACCTGGTCGGCTACGGCGCCAAGTACTACTCCTACCTCATCTCGCGCGCGCTCGCCTCCTCCGCCTGGAACACGCACTTCGCGGCCGACCCGCTCGCGCGCCGCGCCGGCCGCCGCCTGCGGGACCGCGTGCTGCGACACGGGGGCGCCGTGCCGCCGCAGGTACGTACCCGCACACGGGGGGGGGGCGCCGTGCCGCCGCAGGTACGTACCCGCACAAGGGGGAGGGGGGGGTGCCGCCGCCAGTACCTACCCGCACACAGCTCGACAATATTTTAGAGCGTACCGAAGGACAAGACGCCCGGTGCATCCGTATCTAACGATACCAATTTTTCTAAGGTGAAATATAACATCGTGTAATAAAAAGCAAATCCACAAAATTATAAATTGCGTAGTAATTGGTGGTCGGACGTCGTGTGAATCCACGCGGGTAGGTACCACCGCCCCGCCTATTTCTGCCGTGAAGCAGTAATGCATTTCGGTTGGAAGGGCGGGGCAGCCGTTGTACTGTTAAAGCTGTGACCTTAAAACTCATATGTCAAGTTAGTTGGTGGCATTTATATTGTAGACGTCTATGGGCTCCGGTAAACGCTTAACACTAGGTGGGACGTGAGCTTGTCCACCTATCTAAGCAGTAAAAGAAAAACGATGTATAATAGTAGCTACAATAGCAACAACAGCAGTAGAAATAACAGTATAAACAATCATACTAACCCTAATAGCAGCGTCAATTTCAAATTCAACAATAAATATCGACGCTTGAAAGGCAAACATGACTGAGCGACAATGCGAGAACTTTACAGTAGACTAATTTAAAGTTGCAATATCTGAATTTTTTTTTAATATTTTAGCGCATCGAATATGGTTATTACCTATCATTTATGTACAAAGCAGTTATTGNACAGTATAAACAATCATACTAACCCTAATAGCAGCGTCAATTTCAAATTCAACAATAAATATCGACGCTTGAAAGGCAAACATGACTGAGCGACAATGCGAGAACTTTACAGTAGACTAATTTAAAGTTGCAATATCTGAATTTTTTTTTAATATTTTAGCGCATCGAATATGGTTATTACCTATCATTTATGTACAAAGCAGTTATTGTCGCTTAGTCACGTTTGCCTTTCAAGCGTCGATATTTATTGTAAGAAATGTGTTGAAATGATTGTTGTTCCCTGCAGGTCCTGCTCAAGGACTACCTGGAAATGGAGATAACTCCACAGACGCTCGCGTCGGCGCTGATAGACGAGTTGGATTGCCACAAGGACCACCTCGACACCGTGCTGAAGATACTGGACAGGAAGTAACACATCCACTACTTAATGAAAATCAAATTTCTCATATACCCGACGCAGGTGGCTCCAAAACGTCACCGGTATCACTTGTCAATGATTACAAGAATATAATTTGTTTAACGAATGAAAGTGGATTAGATTCCTTAATCTATCCATTGTCTAAACGCAATACGTTTCTTGTAAACGAATAATCGAATACAAATAACTAGACTAGGATAAATGATTGTATCTATCTACAAACAAGAAGTCCATATAGTATGGGTTGCAAAACCTGATATGCATCGTTATATACGCTTAACCCTATTAGTTATATATTTTACAGAAATTAGTAAAGGATTTTGGAAGGAAAGTAGCTTATTTTATCTTAAAAAAATACAAAAATTAATAATGGTTTTCGTGATCACAATATGACATTCAATATCAATTAATAAAATTAAAGATACAAGTAGTGACAGTAATATCAGTTTTACTTCTCTCTGTGACTCATGAAATTAGAAAAAAAAAAACGATTTTAAAAATTGTTATGTATTTTTTAATTCATTGTCGTACTATCTGGACGTTTACTTTTACTGTAATATATTTGCTTTTTTTTTTGTTTTGTTATTAATAAATGAATATGAATCTTATGTGAATAAACTGTAAATATAGTATTATGTAAACTGTATTTTATTTGTATTGAATTAGATAACAAAGTACATTTGGGAGGATCTTACATGAATAAATAGTTCAGAGTGGATTGCAATGTTTACTTTCATTCAGATACATTTTATAATAGATGATTTCCAGCTTTTGTAGTTAATTAACCCGCAAAGGTGTTTCGTAATGTAGTTTAGACAACCTTAATCTATGGTGTACTCGCTGCACCAGTTAACATACACCACGGTCGTCTTTGAACTGTTAGGTTTGTGTTCTTAACGTTGGTTGGACATTTCATACATTCGTTTTGAATCTCACAACAATAATTACTATATAAATTCGAAATATATTATAATCTAATAAGCAAATGTATATAAAATAATTTACAAATAAGTAATTTGCGGCCCGTCTAAACTCTGACAATATTTTGGACCATGGTAGTCTTAAGTGACATCCTTAATTTAGGGCTGGTTCCATTCTAATGCCAACAACTGATTTAGTGACGACATAATATAATATAAAGTTTTTAAAAATTAAAATAAGCAAATAATTCCACTCTTGCCTTCGGGTTCAGTGAAACGGTTCAATAAAAGACATGTAGGTAAAAAAAAGTTTTATTATTAATGTATTTTTAACATTTTTGCTGCACACTTTTCACCACTTTTTCGGGGTTTGCTGAAAAACGTAAGACGCTGGAAGTAGGAGTTACGGACGACACGACTCGAAACTGTTTCAACCGTTATATGTGATCAGCGGACAGAAGTATCAAATTATTCACAAACGATAGGGGGAATTTATTACAGCTCGCAGCGAACAACTTCTGCACTTCAGTTTCAACCACAATGACTAAAGTGACTAAAGGCCATAAAGGGATCGTCAGAAGCGGGGCAAACAACGGTACGGTTTGTGAATTTAGGAGAAAACGAATTATAGTTATTCCGTCGTGCGTAAAATACGTTATTTTTATATTTATTTATATAATATGTACATACATATATATTATTTCCTAAAGATTAGTGAAGTTGTTGACTGGAGCTGTGTATGGCCTCGCTAACCACTCGCGGCGAGTGCGCGCTGCGGGTGGCGTGCATGGGGGGGGGTTGGGGAGGAGGTGCCCGCAGACACAATAACCGTTTTAAATAAATAATATTTTCGTTAAAGCGACGTCGCTGGACTGCTGTTACGCCACGTAGTTGTATTGGTTCGGGTTGTCCTTGTCGCGCTCCATGTAGTCGCGGTCGATCAGGGACTCTATGCGCTTCTTTAGATCGGAGGGCTGTAGGGGGGAGAGCAAAAACTGTCTTATATTACATTATAATTGATCCTGGACACCACAGCACGAAATACAAAATATTATCTTAAACGTGGGTTTACAATCAAGTCGGTGAATGAGCCGGAATAGAGACTGGATAAATCCAAACACAACGGCATGGACTGTTGAATATTTATTTAATTTCAATCTCATTATCTCCAGTTGTAACACAAATACAACGAAATTCTGCTAATCTTTCATGATTTATGTAGAAACATACAATTTATAATCCATTTATCTCATTTTGCAACATCCATCCTTTAACAACACAAAAATAATTTACCTTAACCGGAAACTTGAGCTGGTTGTACAGTTCGGATATGAGGAGGTTGTGCGAGAGCGCTTTCCTCATCTTCATGACCCGGACGATGGCCGCGTCGATCTGGTACTGCCTGTCTTGGAACACGCGCTCTTCCGTCGCCTTCTGCTCCTCGCTCTGTAACACCACCAGGGTCGTTGTAAGGTCGGCACCAAAACTCAGTATCGCCAGTTTTTACACGGTTTTGATCGCGCCGTATCGGCTACCAGTTGGTGTATTTATCTGATTTCAAACCTCCATAGGAATAGTAGGGTATTTCGGTAGGATCAGGATAGTTATTAGTAGGAGAAAGTGTCTATATAAGTGTACAGGGTACTGACTATACTAATAACGATTGAATATTGTTCTGGTTATTTTTATCAGAAAGGGTTATTGCGTTGCGTTTTGAATATTACCTTTTTTTTTTTATTTTTTATTTTTTATGATTGAAAGATTACTGGTGGCCCGGAGGCCTTTCCAGTTTCACCAGGACACGTGGGCGAGCATAGGCTCAGCCAGGAGGGGTGGGATTTGCTAACAGCTACCCGAGCGCCTCCGAAGGAGACCTAACAGCTCAAGACTAGCTGCTTCGCGAATGAATCTACTACCGGATCGGAATCGCGACCCGCTGAGAAGATCCGGCGAGAAATTCAGCGAGCTGATTCATGGGTTAGGTTGCACGGCGAACTCTTTGTCGAGTTCGACGAGTACGGTTACCGAGGTCCCTAAGCCTGCTCCTAGTGTTAGAGCTGAAGGCGTCTAATGCAAAGGTCATTGGATCTGATGGATCCGTAAGGACGTGTTGGAATATTACTCTGTTATTTAGTCAATATGGATAAAACTGGGCTTCTTTAATAACCGACGATTGAGGACATGTGCTTCGCAAAAGGCCTTCAGTGATGAGGGAGGGGTTCCACATCGGGTGGACCAGGACTGATGTTCTCACTTGGACTATTTTGTAAAGTTTATGGGGTTTGTCATTTCCTATCGTTTGAAGAACAAGATTTATGCATTCGCCCCAAATCTTCAGCCTCTGAACTTGAATCTCTTAGACATACTCCTAAAAATACAAGCATTTATGTAGTGCACTGACCGTCTCCTTCATCTGTATCTGGTTGATTTTGATCCGGAACAGCTTGTTGGTGAAGTCCGCATTGAAGGAGAAGTGGTCGAGGTCCTGCACGTCCCGACCGCGCGGCGCCTTGCTCAGCACGCGCGCCTTCCCGCACGCCAGGGACTGCAGCGTGCGGCGGAGCTCTCCCTCCTGCAACGTACCGGCCGTGGCCCCTGTACTGACTACCGTACTACTACCACCACTACTACTACTACTGTACTGATTGATCTACTGATTGATCTACTGATACACTCTACTGATTGTAGCAGGTTAAGGGCAAGTTTTTAAATGTCATATATTATATTTTAGTCAGTGGGAATGATCAGAAGTTTACTTTTGAATAAAATTGAGTATATTAAAATCGGACATACCTCTATATTGGTGGAAACCTTAATGTCTTCAAAAGAGAGATTGTCTCCATCGTTGAACAATAACAGGACCAGAGCTTGGAATAACGAAACCTGTAGCTCTTTGTTACCCTGCAATTTTTTTTGTTACTTTTTTTATTTTTATATTTGTAGTTAACAAGGTGCCATTATTATTATTATTATTATTATTATAGAAAAGCGACCTAAATGCGGTAAACATATTGAACTACTAATATATTNTAAAGTTTAAACAAAAGGATTTTATTATCATAGACATGAATACAAAAAAGTTAAATTAGATAAAGTTTAAACAAAAGGATTTTATTATCATAGACATGAATACAAAACAGATGGCGCGTAACGGAAAAATGTGACGCGTAACCGAAAAATGTGACGGTAAATTTTTTTCCAACGCCGATAAGGAAGTTTCACTTCAATAAATAAATAAATAAATAAATAAATAAATAAGTACCACTGTCCTGCCTATTTCTGCCGTGAAGCAGTAATGCGTTTCGGTTTGAAGGGCGGGGCAGCCGTTGTAACTATACTGAGATCTTGGAACTTATATTTCAAGGTGGGTGGCGCATTTACGTTGTAGATGTCTATGGGCTCCGGTAACCACTTAACACCAGGTGGGCTGAGCTCGTCCACCAATCTATGCAATAAAAAAACACACACACACACAAAGGCAACCATCCCTGGTGAAGCAGTTGTGTTATAGCCGTATTTACTGAGTTTATTCATTGTTATTTAATAAAAAACAAATTGTAAGAGTATTATTTGTGTATATTTTACAATTCATTGTGTTCATTTTTTTCTAAAGAAAATATACATATAGATATTACTTTGTGTAATGTAGTATTTGTATAGCAGTAGTATATAGTAGGACATACTAAATTCTCCGATAATCCTGTACCGAGAATCAGTGCCATTTACCTGCTTATATGTAATATTGATATCTTTAGATAGCTCCATATCTTTGAACATTCCTTCTAGTTTACAGGTGAAGCCACCTCCGCACTCTTGCTTCAGTTTACTAAGCATCGACTTCTCAGCGTCCACCGATGCAGATTTACCTACTAGCAATCTCTTTGCTAGATCCTGGAAATTAAACAAAGTTATAGAAGGGGTTATTCCAAACTTGCAATATTTCATTCATTTACACTTTCATTCTGTACTAAAAATCTCATTCAAACTTGTTTAGTAACGTAGATTATAGTAAACAAGCACAAAGAAACTAGTTTTTCTAAGAAAACTTTCCAAGCAAAGCAACTCCCAACTGCTCCCGGCCTTCCACATCATAAAGTGAATGCCACCTCTTTGAGACATGAGGTCTAATTTTGAATTTGTAGTGTATTAAGTGAGGGTATATGTTCTCCTTTTAATAAAAAAGATTGCTAAGTGCGGGTTGTATAAAAAAAGACACAGTGAACTGACTTGTTACCCAAAACATCTGCTTAAGTTTATAATAAAACAGAATTGTACTCTATAGCTGTGTTTGCACCCATCAATTCCAGTCACTAATCACATTATGGTGGTATCAGAGAACACTAAACAATAGTTTTAATCAATTTCACATCAACATAATGGTGAGCAGGAGGTTAGCTTCAACTTTTTTTTCAATTTTTTTAAAGGAACAATCAATTAAAAACTATATACCTTTTTATAGAAAGCTTCAAAAACATCCTTGCCGTGTATGAAACGGAACAAAACCATTATCTTGTCTAGCAGACGTTCTAATTCTTCTTCAGTTGCTTCTTTATTACCGGCCCTCAATTTTAGATCCACAAATTTGGCTGTAAACAAATACTACCTGATTAAATCAAATGTTGTGCCATTTTCAGTAAAATTGTTCTTAAAATACTAATAAAACAACAGATTAAAATACTAGCAAGGTCAATTATTTCGTTTGGAGAAAAAAATCTTCATCTTCAAAAGGATTCCCTTAACCCAATATTGGTTCTTGGAATCCTTTTAGGATTTTTAGGGTGCCTCAAGTGGAAAAACTTCAGAATATTTGATAGAAAAGCCTGGGGCTTTGTTATTGTTGCATAGTGTACCAATTCAAATTCAAATAAAAGAATGAAATAGGCTTGTTTTTTTTTTCACTGCAATTTTCTTGCTTTTGAAAGATAAAAATAAAAAAAAAATCCAGGTAATAAATAGTAATAGAGTAAATGTAATATTTAACATACCAATTAATTCAGCAGGTTTGTTCTGTCTCTGATTAATAAAGAATTCAAAGGCTTCTCTCATAGAGTATATGAATTTGTCATTTCTCTGGAAGCATGTGTTGACTACATGGTCCAGTTGTTCTTTGAAGTCGAGTAGCTCAGTTACCATCGTCTTGTCTCGCTCTGGCTCTATTACTATCGTTCTTCCCTTTTTCTGCAATACAATTATTTTTATAACAAAACTTATATCTCTATGTAAGTAGGTGATACTGTGTTTGAAGGAAGTTTTCTTTGCTTTTTTTTTTATTGCTTAGATGGATGGACGAGCTCACAGCCCACCTGGTTTTAAGTGGTTACTGGAGCCCATAGACATCTGCAACGTAAATGCGCCACCCACCTTGAGATATAAGTTCTAAGATCTCAGTATAGTTACAACGGCTGCCCTACCCTTCAGACCGAAACGCATTACTGCTTTACGGCAGAAATAGGTAGGGCGGTGGTACCTACCCGTGCGGACTCACAAGAGGTCCTACCACCAGTAAAAAACAGAATTTATTTATGTGTGTAATTTAAATTTTCAATGTTTTAAATCGCCGTTATTTCCTATACATACACCCGATACTCATTAATATCACAATGCGGGTAGCAAGAAAAGTGTTGCATGTTAGTGTAGTGTATTTTATTTCCGAAATATTTCAACTTTTTTATTAATAGTATTTTTTGCACTGTAGCTTTAATAGAATATCAGAGTGAGATGAGAGTGTCAAAAAGTTCTAGTTTTTTATCACATAAACAAATAAGATAGGGTTCCGTACTGCTTTTTAAAGGGTTTTAATATTGAAAATAACCAATTCCTAAACATTTTTGGAAATTAGCAGAATTTTTGCAACTTTTGGTGACTTTCGCTAAATATGTGAAATACTAGTCATTTATTGAATTTATTTATGATCATATATCACGAATTCAGAAGTATACCTTGATGTAACCATTGAAATGATGACAAAGTTCAGCCAGGCCATCCTTAACCCTGGAGAACAGCGTGTAGAGTGTGGCCAGGTCATGTAGTCGTGGTGCGTCCAACAATGCAGCCAGGCCCTTACCGAGTATCCCGGCCACATGTTCACCCAGCAACTGTCGCTCTACCACCACCACCAGTTGCCATCTGAAAATTTTAAATTGTGTTTGGTTGGTTGTGGTTGAAATGTGTTTTTTTTCTGTTCATTGTTTTCGATCATATCCTCTTGTTGGTGAATGGTTACCATCTGTCAATCATGACCACTGGCAGTGCCATTTACAATGTTTTTGATTAGTTCTTTTGCTTTCTCTGCTATTTGTATTAAATGCTATGTACAAACTGGTAATATGTGACTTAGTGTGGTTAACCATAACTTTAGTACCAATTCAACCAGATGAATTTAAACACAAATAAATTTATTACATGCTGCTGTAATCACATAATAAAACAATTTTGAACACAATACTGACTTGGTTGATGGGTCTAAATAATGTAAAAGGCGATCATTCTCCTCTTTAAGTCTTTTCTCTACGTGGGCAAGGTATTCAGGAACTGCCAGTTCCCTCATCAAACGTTGTCCTTCTGCAGCGTACAGCCTTTCAGTTGCTTGAAGGAATCTGTATTTATAAAACATAATTTTTTTCATGAAAGATGGATGTTGGTACTTATTCTCCTTTTCATAAAAAGGATTACTAAGTGTGGGTTGTATAAAACTGACATACTGTGAATTGAAATGCTTCACAACATGTGTGCTTAATTTTATAATTCACTAAGTAAAATAATAAAACATAATAATAGAAAAGTAAATATTATTTCACATACTTATGCTCAAATGCTTCCTGATATATTTGTAGATCAGAGAGCATACGTAGAAGACTCTTCAGCAAAGATATATCTACTGAATCACCTCCTCGCTCACGTTCAATAAGTAATAAGAGGCCATCTACTGTACGAGTCTGGACAAGTGTATTCATTGCTATATGGTGACGAAACAGGTCTAGGCCCATGTCCCTGAAAGTATTATTAAGTGTGAGGTTTAGTGCTGTAGTTTAGCTTAAAGCTTTGAAGTCGTCGTGGCCTAACAGATAAGACGTCCGGTGCATTCGTGTTGAGTGATGCACCGGTGTTCGAATCTCAGGTGGGTACCAATTTTTGTAATGAAATACGTACTCAACAAACGTTCACGATTTATTTCCACGGTGAAGGAATAACATAGTGTAATAAAAATGAAACCCGCAAAATTATAATTTGCGTAATTACTGGTGGTAGGACCTCTTGTGAGTCCGCACGGGTAGGTACCACCACCCCGCCTATTTCTGCCGTGAAGCAGTAATGCGTTTCGGTTTGAAGGGTGGGGCAGCCGTTGTAACTATACTTGAGACCTTAGAACTTATATCTCAAGGTGAGTGGCGCATTTACGTTGTGGATGTCTATGGGCTCCAGTAACCACTTAACACCAGGTGGGCTGTGAGCTCGTCCACCCATATAAGCAATAATAAAAAAAAAAAAAAAGCTTACAGCTTAGCTGATGTAACTAGAGCCCATAGACTTTTTTTTGGTAAAGAGCCCATAGACTAACTAAAATCACTCTCACCTATCAATATAGGTGATAGTGATTTTAGTTTGTTATAGATTTCTCTATAGAAATTCTTAATTATTAATGTTTTAAACTATGCATTAAGGATTTGTGTTAATGCATTTTAAGTTCAGTAAAGTTGATCAGCTCATTTCTGATGTATATTACTGAATTGAATTAAATCCACTAAATATACAAATTATTATCATTAAAAAATAGCTTCAACGGTACCCAAGTACACAGATGATTGTTTGCACTAAAATTGACAATAAACAAATGTATGTATATATGTGTATTATTATATTTACAAATTGTGTATTAAATATAAAACACTTAATGTTACTCACCAAATTGAATGTATACTAGGGTTTTGAAGGACATAGGTTCGGTCTAAATATAAAAAAATGCTTCTAATCATAATCATTTGTCTGCAGTGAGCTCGCCAGCAGTCGTCCATCCTCTTTAGAAAGACCTGTCTGTCCATGCTCTCGGACAAGAACTGCTCAATGTTGGCTTTCACATGAGCTTCTACCAAGTTTGTTAAGTTAACATAAAGTTGTGAAGCCATCTGTAAATAGATTAGTAATCGTTTTGTTTCTGAACTCAGAATGAAAATTGGCATTCAGCATAATAATGATATCTACTCCTCAATTTTTCCTTCTCAACGAAGTACTTAGTGAACATGAGTTACATTATAATGAAAAAATTGTATCTATCCCTAGAATTTGAGCCCCAACAAAAGTTCACTTCACTAAATTATAGGGGATCAAATATATTACGTATTATGTAACAGACAATATGTGAGTAATTAAATTATGGATAACTTCCCATAGATCATATTTTTGTTTTCAATATCATATCATTGATTTAATAGTTAGAGATCATAACTACGTTATAATTTAATGTCGTATCTATATATATTTATTTACATATTTTCTTTTATATTATTAATCACAAGGACTGTTTCAGTGGCGGTTCTAATTTTGCTTAGACCAAATTCATGACAAAATAGCTCACTAGGAATTTCATGGGCAGTTGATCATGTAAAATTAAATTTTGAATTAACTATGTTATGGATGATAAGAGGATTTTTGTTTATTATTTTTTGAAAGTTGATGACCTTGCAATTGAATTGTGTACAAAATAAAATTTCGTTTCTATATTTCTCACCTTATGACTACACATGTTTTCGACGGCTTGATATAATTCTTCTAAGGAATAGGCTATCGATTTTGAGGTCTGAATGGCGACAACAGCTTCCCGCAGCTTGCTCCATGTCGTTTCCTGATAATTGTCTGGAAGGTTCGGTTTACCTGCAACAGCATCAACCACTCACAGCAGATGTCACAGAGGTTATAATGACGATCAAGATAAAATCGTAAACACACTTTTGAAATTCTTAATTATCAGCTTTTTTGCAGTAACGCCAGGCTTGTTCATTGATGTTGACGACATCTTTATCCCGTTAGAATTTGGATTCACTAGCGAAAAATTTGATATTTTCTCCTCTGCGCTCATTTCGTTGATTTTCACTCTTTTGCTACACGATTCGCTGACAGGCAGTGATCGTTTTTTATACAGATTACCGCCTTCTTTGGCAGAAATAGGAGTTTCAGCTAATCCCGACATAAGCAAGCATGATATGGCCGCAGCCACTACACTTAAACAATGAAATTCTAAACTAGATTATCTAGAAAACAAATAAAAATAATTCCGCTCAGTCAATAGTTTACGGGTTCACCACCATTACGATTAGTTTTCGTATTTTTTCGCGAGAGAGCGCCTCTCTCAATTTCGGATGGCTGTCAAAATTGAAAGAGTTGCGTTCAATTTAAAACATACGTTGTAGAATTTTTATTAAAGATTATTAAATCTTTAATAATTTATTAAATATTAATTATAATAAATAATTGGAAGATTGAAGAAAAGGCAACAGAATTCTATGAAAATCAAAACCAGAATACTATGATCGTCAACCATCATTTGATTTTAGTAGAGCTTATTATAGCCTGCATGGATGGGTGTCACGGTCTCTCCTATTTCTTCTGCCAAGCAAAATGAGACATGTTAAGGGACAGAATTTTACTAAAGATTTTGCTTCGCCTCTATACTAATAATGCCAAATAATGGTTGGCATGTATGTTGCGGTATCTATGATCTCAGTTAATCATGTAATATCAGGTGGTCCATGAACTTGTGAATACATAAATAGTTACAGCTTGACTACAGCAACAAGGAGTTGAAGTCGTCATGGCCTAAAGGTTAAGACGTCCGGTGCATTCGTGTTGAGCGATGCAATGGTGTTTGAATCCCGCAGGCGGGTAGCAATTTTTCTAATGAAATACATACTTATAAAATGTTCACGATTGACTTCCATGGTGAAGGAATAACATCGTGTAATAAAAATCAAACCAGCGAAATTATAATTTGCGTAACTACTGGTGGTAGGACACCTTGTGAGTCCGCACGGTTAGGTACTACCGCCCGGCCTATTTCTGCCGTGAAGCAGTAACGCGTTTCGGTTTGAAGGGTGGAGTAGCCGTTGTAACTATACTGAGACCTTAGAACTCATATCTCAGGGTGGGTGGCGGCGTTTATGTTGTAGATGTCTATAGGCTCCGTTAACCACTTAACACCAGGTGGGCTGTGAGCTCGTCCACTGATCAATGCAATAAAAAAAAAACAAGAAAAAGCGTTTTCCCAAACTTTTTTTTATTGCTTAGATAGGGGACGAGCTTTAAGTGGTTACTCATACATGATAATGGTGGAATAACAGCGTATTTAAAAAAATCAAACTCGCGCTACGCTGATCGCAATGCATATTCTGCGCGGGTGGTACCTACGGGTAGGTACAATTATCCTGCTAATAACATGAAGCAGTGCTGCGTTCTAGTTCGAAAGGTTGGGGAGCTGTTGCCTATTACGGTTAAGATTTGGAGTTTCTAGGTGTGTTTCCTTCGTTTCCTTCTTTTCAGAGCAATTTCAATATTCCTCAAAGCACTCTAGAACATATGGTACAAAACAAAGAGAGAATCGAAGTCACCCTCTTCTGTATGGAGAAAATAGAAATATGTAGCTGGTACTTGGAAGCCCTGGCGTAGAGAGCAGTACTCCAAGGGAGGCTGGACTTGTGCTTTGGCTAAAGTATTCGCTCTGTTGAAGACTACAAGCATTTTTGACGCTAACTTGGCTTTGCCCTCCGAATGGCTCCAATGGTAAAAATCTCTCGCAACTTCTACCCCCCCGTATCCCAATACTCATAGAAGGTTGCAGGTATACTCAATTGAATTGCGGTGCCATGACAAAAGTGTTTTTCTTCGTGGTTAACGCGCAAGCCTATGCCTTCAAAAGGTTAAATTGGACTAAATTTATTTCACTCCATTCGGAGACCCGCCCCAGGGTGTTCTCCACCTCAGACAAGTCTTGACCGTCTCTCCTGCATTACGCTCCAAGAAAGACTCTGATGGCTGATATCTGTCACAACCCTCATTATGTCATCCGCCTATTTATCCCATCAAGAGATTGTATGTCGCTGATAAGCAGGATGAGAAGCATGGGAACCTTGTGGAGTGCCAGCGTTAATATTTGTACCAGAGCGGCCGTTGACGACGACTGTGATACTCCACCTAGAGATTCACAGTCCCACGGGGATTCCGTAAGATTCCGATTCAATAGAAGTACCCTCAGCATATATAACCCCAGTTGTCCATAGATTATAATCGCGCTAGAATAGATCTCTGCGGAGCCAATGAAGCAGTACGTAGCTTAACTTAATAATGAAATAAAACTTTAGATTAAACTTCTAGGGTCACATATAAATGACAGAATTGGGTTAATTTTGATGTTTCTCTAGGCCGCGGTTCGGTCTAACGTATGAACTGTGTTCGGCTTTGTTACCAAACGGGGTCACTGTCCAATCAGCCGCAAATCTCATCCGACCTCAATTTGCTAACGCTATTCATCAATCTTTGTTGAATATTAGTGTTGTTGAATAGCGTAATAAGGATTTTTAGAAACACTAACAATCTATTCATTCCTTTATTTTTGTATTCAAAACTTTGGATCAAATTAAAATGTACAATTCATTTTAATTTAGATGTTAAGTAACATACTTAATTAATTAACGTCAAAATAAAATATCCTCAGTCTTAGGAATTCGCGAAACCAATAGAGTGCTTTTTTAAGTTATCTTTTGTCCGCCAAATTACGTGAAAAATTGAAGCTAAATGAAAAGGTTCGGTGTTAAGATTTGGTTTCTACGAAATAGCACAGTTGTATCGTACACTGTAAAGCAAACAAGAGGAATATTGGCAGGAATAATAGTATAAATAATAAGACGGTGGTATGGGCCTGTAAAAGTTTCCGGTCAAGTTTTATGGATAGATAGGTAGGTAAAAAGGTGAGCCTAGTAGGTATACCTGGTATACGGTTAACCTAGTAGGTATACAAGAATACTACACTACTACAGCAATAGATACGTGCCAAAACACGTCATTACGGATCCTCCCGATCCATTAACGGTGCTTTTAGGTACCTCAAGTACCGGTCACCGTTTTCGTCGAACCCGTCGCTTGCGACGAAGGGCTTGACTAGTGAATTAACCCATACACAGTCCACTGAGTTTGCAGTTTGAAGCACTGCTTTTGCTAAGGCCAGTGTTAGCAACACTTCCAGTTTCAGTCCCGTGAGCTCACCTACATGTTAGGGTGAAGCTGAAATAGCCTCTGAAGGCTATTAGCATAGGTAGGAAAAAAAAGATACATAAAGGTGACCTAATACAATAAAAACTGCATAATAGGTATTAATATCAATACCTAAGTACCTGTATACAAGGTCAAAGTCCAACACACGATTTCATAGCAGAAATAATCAAGAGGATAATACCTATCTATTAAACCTAATTATTATCTGTTTGAGGCTCGCCTTATAGCAGTTTTAGTATCAACAACGGTACTCTCACCTATTAGCCACGGACGGCCATTCATTTATTGTTATATGTGAAAGTTAATACAGATTTTGGTATATTTAATACGTATTACATATGTGTGATATTTGTATCAAGTTCGGATAAACTGTTTTTTTTGTTTATTACATATTGATATTTTTTTCAAAATTTTCTTTGAAAATGTCATTAACGAAACAAAGGAGGAAATATCAAACAAAAAATGAATGTATATCTTTAGGAACCAGTGAATATGGTTGAATTGAAGCGAATTTAAGTGAATGCCAGTATTGTGTAAACCGTTTAAACAATTTTATGGAAAACAAAGAAATATTAAAAAGAAGAACGCTTACGAATATGTATGAAGAATTATATTATGTACATAGGAACTTTAACTATTTTTGAAGTTGTACTTCTTTAGGCGCGTTGTGAAAAATTGATGAGAGTGAAATTTTACGATGCGCGCGCACCGTGACACAAAATTAACAGAAATGAAGTTGCCCACTAAATCGCTCATTACAATACGACCGACGTAACTTGGCGAGTCTGAATATAGCCGCAGGTGAACTTTCGCGCATGTACACTCTTAAAAAAAGTGTTATTAGCATTCATTTTTTAGTAATATAAATGACAAAATTATTATTTAATATAATTCATACTAAATATTATTAAATTATTAACGTTAAATATTTATTCTTAATTATTTAATATTTAAAAAAAAAACCAAATAAATTTAATAAAAATAAAGTATAACTTCTTACGCGCGTACATAGGTAAGTACACGGACCCTTTTTTTGTTTAAGCTATAACTGTATTACTTCTCGAGTTTTTCGTAGTTTTCAGTTTTTTCTTTTTTTTTTCTACCTATGCTTATAGCCTTGAAAGGCTATTTCAGCTTCTTGACGTGTAGGTGAGCTCACGGCGCTGAAACTGGGAGATATTTCAGCGTATAGATTGTAGATTTTATACTAAGTTTTTTTCACGCGACTTTTCACAGAAAGTATTTTTAGTGATCATCGAAATTTGTTTAGGCGGCGGCTTGACTGTGCCCCTGGCATTGTTGATGTCCCTAAGCGAATGTGATTACTTACCAAGAGGCTGGATGCTCGTTGAAAATATGTTTGTTTTAGATTTTATTTAAAAAAACACAAATGAAAACGGTGAATAGCGTATAAAGTTACCCTAAAAACTGTAGCGATAACATTAATCCAATTAAAGGTTTATTGTGGTGGCGAACTGGCGATTTGATTACACCCCAGCGCCGCAGGTCCCGGCGGGGCGTAACAAGTGGGGCTGGCATGTGCAGCGCCCCCGCGCTCATTCACCGGCTCCATTAAATTTCACTCAAACTCATTCACTTCATTCAGTCGCCGGCATCGTTGTCGGATGGACGTTTGAAATTATTTTTTGTCGCGACTAACCATGCGTTTGTGCCGAAAGCGCGCGTAAATACAAAATTTGTTGTCTCCATTGTGTCGTTTGAAAACGTACGTATTAAAGTGAAATGAGAATCGTGTAATCGTTAAAATGGGCGAACAAACGTTTACCATACCGGACGATAATCTGGAACAGCACATTGTGACTTTGTTTGAGAAATTGGAAATTTTACGCCGGGACGCGAATACGAATGGGGACAATTTGGCGGGCAGGATTCCAGCTAGATTAGAGCTGAGGACTTTGTCGCTGTGGAAGGCCGTGGTCGCAGAATGTGTGGCGTCGTTCCTTTATGTTTTCATAGTGTGCGGGGCGGCCGGTGGGGCGGGCGTGGGCGCCTCAGCCTCTGCAGTCCTGCTATCTACGGCACTGGCTTCAGGATGTGCTATAGCAACCCTCACCATGTGCTTCGTTAATATCTCTGGTATGTTCAAATTAATATGCTGTATTCAGACTAGGTTTAAAGAGAGCGTTTTTGATAGCAAAGGCGGACGTGTATACCGTCTACGTGATGATAGGTGGATGTAAACAATGCCAGGAGTGCAGCCAATTCAACGGTAGGTAACGGTTTGGCTATGTCCCCGGCTTTGATGATGTCCATGAGCGATGGTAACCCAGGTAACCACACAACATCAGATGGGCCGTATGCTCGTTTGCCTTTATGGGCAACAAAAACAAACAAAGAAGCTATGGAGTGTTTTCAAACCTCGTTCTCTCTGGTATTACTAATGTTCATGGAGGCAGTAAGTGGAAGTGGAAAAACGGATTATCTTACTTCATCATAATTTTATTTCGCCATCCAATGACGTCAGAATTGATATAAACCTATCAAAAACTGTTCACAGTGAAGTCGTTTTCTCGGAAAGAAGGAACCTCATCTAAGTGCCATGAATATTGTAACAAAGACGAAACTTTGTTTAGAAATTTAATTTCGAGTTTTGAAACGAGTCTAGGGAATTAGCCTTAGAGCCTTCAATATTTAATTTATTGAGATTATAAAAAACTTATGACAATTTATATGACTGCGTTAGCACATTATAGGTGTTGGTCACATAACGACACATCACACGGTAAAAATGAATATAATTATTATAATGGCAACCTCTAGTCACTATCACTTACTACTGTCCCATTATTCTTTAGTAGCATTACATATCCTTATTACTAATTTGCTAATATAAGTAGCAATGATTCATTTACCGATTTTCAAATCATGGTGTGCCATTCCTAATGGTGTTATCGTCAAGGCGACTATTTGTGAAGCAACGCTAAATCAAATATTAACTTATTAGAGATGAGAACAGGAAGAAGTCCCACCACAGATAATAAATATTTGTTTACATTTTAGGGGGCTCTGTAGTATTGCGTTTAGTCGTTAAGTTCTTTGCGGTTTTAAACTGGCTGGTAATTGCTAAAACAAAAGTCGTGTTAACGCAGTGGGTTAGGTGCCGCTTACTGCTGGGCCGAGGCTCATGGGTTCGTTTCCTACTGGGAGCGAACATTCGCGTGACATTTGTTTGCTCTTTGTCGGACTGTCTAACATATAAATGTATGTATTTAAACATATTTAAGTACGCATATTAATCGCCGATTCGCCATAGTACAGGGTATACTAGTTTGGGTATAGAGGATCGTGGACGATTTGTCCAGATAATTTTTTATTCTTTTATGAGCTCCGGCAAGAAGTGACCTACGTCATAGTTCCGTCTGGAGTAGTTTATTTATAGTGATGTATTTTTATGGAATCACCATTGCCGAAAACCTAGTATAATCAAAACCAGACCTTGAACTTTCGCAAAGATACTAATTACTAACCGGTGGTAGAGATTAGGGACTCTGTCTACTGTGTACAACCCAATGAGTTTCTAGCCGGTCTTCTCAGTGGGTCGGAATTCCGATCCGGTAGTAAATTCTGCGAAACTCTACTCTTGGTAGTGCTAGTGTTAGCAATTTTCTCTTAGGCTGAGCCCGAGAGCTTACCTACCGGTCTAGGGGTAGCTGGAATAGCCCCCTAAGCTACCAGCGAATAGGTAGGGGGAAAGAACTGTGTACAGTATAGTACGCTAAAGAGGCCATCATAAGTAACCCTTCGGCATGCTCACTATCGTGGTTACGGGGTGCCGTAACCGAGTGTTAAGAAAACTGAAACCTCACGAATTCATGTCCCGAGATAGGTAGCGGCCTTTACGTTGTAGATGTCTATGGGCTCCGGTAACCACTCAACACCAGGTGGGCCGTGAGCTCGTCCATCAATCTAAGCAATAAAAAAGAGGGATACGCGCGAGCCCTTCCGCCAAGATAAGATCAAGAAAGCTCATATAGCTCTGACCGATATTCCACCGTTACTCATGAAAACTTTCAAGACTATATTCAAATGGTTCGGTAATTTGAATTTCTTGGTTGATCGTTCTAAAGGTCATATTTGTTAACATATACATGCTTCGGTCCTGAAATAGAACGAGCAGAAATAATATCCGCACCATAGGCGACTGTTAATGTCGTGCGGGTTATTAGGGGCGATCTTCGGAGCGACCGTGGTCGCACAGGTAACATATCATGTAACTATTGTCACTATATTGAAGTCCTATGTGCTTAGTGCGAGTTTCTTAACGTTCTCGATAGCGTAAAAGTTAACTCAGATTTGTATGGAGCTGGAAAGTTTGCGTACGTTTGCCGCTAGGGGCGCTGTTCCAACTGCATACAAATGTGAGTTATCTTTTACGATATCGAGAACATTATGGCCACTTTTATTATATATTATATTATATTATTATATTATTATATATTTTTTTGGTAGCCCGAGGGTCTGTTCCGACTAAGCACGGACGGGTATTATCAATCTGAGAGAATTTGGTAACACTAGCCCTAGCGAGAGCAGTGCTTCGCTCACTGAGAAGATTCGGCGAACAGTTCGGTGGGTTTTTTAGATAATATTCAACATTGTTATCGAATTTTGTTTTGGTAAGGTAACGAACAAATATTATAGACGTGAATTGAAAAGCGGCAATGGGCCGGACATACGTGTCGCAGAACCGATGGCCGATGGAGCAGACGTGTTCTGGACTGGAGACCGCGTACCGGTAAACGCAGCGTTGGGCGTCCCCCTGCCCGTTGGACCGATGACTTGCGGCGATATGCTGGGAGATATTGGATGCGGAAGGCGGAGGATCGTTCATTGTGGCGGACTATGGGAGAGGCCTACATCCAGCAGTGGAGAGATACAGGCTGATGATGATGATGATGATGATGATGAATTGAAAAGCTACTCCGGTCATGGTCCTCGTCGAACCCGTCGCTTGCGACGAAGGGCTCCACGAGTAAATTAACCCACGGACACAGCCCACTGAAATTCTCGCCGGATCTTCTCAGTGGGTCGGGATTCCGATCCGGTAGTAGATTCTGCGAAACTCTACTTTTGCTAGTGCCAGTGTTAGCAACGTCGTCAGGTTTGAGCCCCGTGAGCTCACCTACTAGTTAAGGTTACGCTGAAATAGCCTCTCAAGGCTATCAGCATAGGTAGAAAAAAAAACAAAAAAAGCTAAAGAAAACATGATATGCAAAGCACACAGACGACATCCCTCTTAAGACGGTAAAACCAAAAACATGAAATATCTGCCTGCTCTAGATGTTACTGTGTGTTGTATAATTGAAAATGACCATACAAACTATGCTAAAGTGTATTAATTGCCCTTAAGATCGATAACACAGGCGTGTAAATATATAAAATAAAAAAGTAATATAGAGCAGGTGGTTTTAAAGTACAAGTAAGTACAGGTGAGTACAGTTTGCGATAAACGTTACGCTCTGTGTAAAGACAGTCGCGAACGATAGCAGTTGTGCTGCACTCGACTGTATGATTTACATAAACTACTTATATCAGCGTACATAATATTATATAGGTGATTGATCTATTTTGTAATGTATTTGAAATATAATATTAAAAATACTAATATAGTTTGATATGTCGAATACATTTTACGATTTGCCTAATTACTACCGAGAGAAGCTGGAATAGCTGCTTACTACCTGCGAATAGGTAGGAAAAAAAATATATTATGGTGCATGGCGGCATTCACGGGAAGTTTCGGCGAGAGTCTACGCAGACTTTGTTTTCTTAAATTATTTTCACGATGTATGCAAAAAGTTTCGGACTTTTTCTCATATACTTGCAAAATATATTCAAAAAATTCAATTTACATCAACTTTTTTTTTTTAAACTAAAGCGCGTTACTCACTCAACTGGCAGTTCGTTATTAATTACGGCTCAATAAGGAGAGTCGCGACCGCGAACCCGCTCCGGTACTTGTGCGCAGATGTTAGCAATTATCCCACAGTTATGCGCCTTTTTTTACTTTTACGTATTTAATGTTCCCGTTGCAAGCTGACATACTATAGATTGCCTTTAAAGGACATTAGTAAAGCCCTGCTTCGCTTCGTGGTAGCCAGGGACTTGGCTGTGTCCTGGCATTACTGACGTTAATGTTTTTTTCTATCTATTGCTAGTAGCCTCTAGGGATTACGCTAGCTTCATCGGACGTGTAGGCAAGCTCGCGGGACTCAGCTTCGAGACTTCTGACACTAGCCCTAGCAAGAGCTTTGTTGCTGACGTTCATAACGGTAACAGCTCTCTATCGGATGAACCGCATGCTTGTCTGCCTACAAAGACAATAAACAAAACACTATCATTATTTACGAGCAAAGTTTAATAAGAGTACTAGTAACGTAATTATGGTGAAAACAAATGAAATTGAATTTTATGAAAACGTCTTATGGGTTTTTTAGTCTTGTCTCGTAATCTTGGATGTTCCAATCGGGCAGCTGTTAGCAAATCCCTTGTCATCCTGGCTGAGCCTTTGCTCGCCCACCTGTCCTGGTAAAACTAGAAAGGCCACCGGGCTACAAGTAATCCTTCATTAAAAAAAGCAGTATCTTTATACTATTGTCTTCGGGCTTCGTAAGTCAAAGACGTATTTTAATACCACGTTTAAGTTTCATCTTTTTATTGTCACTAAATTATATCCGATGTTGCGAATACTCCAGTTACCTTGGTTCACGGACGACTAAGATATTGTTCGTCCATAGATAATACACATAAATTAGGTACAGATACGCAACTCAAGCACTCAACAAAAATGTTTAAGGGCGTCGGCCACTAGATGGCTTCGAACGTGACGTAGATGGCATTAACATACTACTTATCCTTTAATTTATTTTTAATGAAGGATTTTGTAAATTTTCAGAAACCACAAAGGGGATGGCCCATTTTCGGCCCAAAGCGGACAATAGATTATAGAAAAAATACTTAGTGCATTAATTTTGTCATAAATAAATATGCATTTACTTTCTTGCAAATAAGCGCCACTATAGTTTACAATAAGTAGTTTAAAAAAAGTAACTCTATTGAAAAAACAAGGATTTTTATTT